CCCCCCCCCCCCCTCCCCCCCTCCTCTCCATCATGTCTCTTCGCCCTCGCGCATCGCCAGGACCCCCCGCATCGCCCCCCGAGCCCGACACCCCAGCAGCGCACTACACAGACCGCCTGGATCTCGGGACCGAGGCCTCGCGCATCGCCGCCGCCGCGCATGTCCACGAGCACGGCGTCAGGCATGGGGGATGGGCAGGCGCCCGCAGCAGATGGGCGGCACGGTTGAGACGCAAGGGCAAGTTCGGTGAGTTTATCGAGGCGGAGAATGCACGCGTACATGAGCGAACGAGCGAGAGGACGGACGCGCGCCTCGGAACGTGCCGAGGAGGCTGTCACGAGTGCGCTTGGACTCTTCGCGTCCGGTGGCTTGCGGCTCGTTGGCTCGTTGGCTCGTCGGCTCGTTGGCCCGCCGCTTCAGCTGTTGGATCTTCATGGCCTCGGCGGGTCGTCTCGTCTTCATCCTACAATGTTGCAGCGGCCACGACCCAACTTATTTCCACGCACAAGAGCATTGATAACACCAGGCTTGTCGCAGCGCGCATGGCTCGCCATCACCATCATCATCGGCTTCGTGCTCCTCACCAAGCTGATAGTCCGTGAGTGATTTCCCGAGTTTTGGCCAGCACTAACGACAGCGTCCGAGACGGCGACCAACCCCACAGTGGAGGAGTTTAACGAGCTCAAGCCCCACGACTATCTCAACAACTCGATGACTGAACCAGCACCATTCGAGTTCTGCCCCGTCTTTGGGCCGGGCGACGCGATCGCCGCTCGCCGCGGCCAGTTTGAGCTGCTCCGTTCGCGCGTGCACACGGGCACTGGCGCGCGCATCCACCGTGTTCTGCGCAAAGCGATGAAGGGCCTCCCCGTAACCATCTCGGTTCTCGGCGGCTCCGTCACGGCATGCCACGGCGCCGGCGACGACCCCATCGCCCCCGAGTGCTACCCGGCACGCCTGTTCAACTGGTGGAACTCGGTGTTCCCGCATCCCGCCAACGAGCTCACCAACGGTGCTGTCAAGCGCACAGACTCGGCATACTACGCCTACTGCTCACGGCATCACCTCCCGGACCAGACAGACTTGGTCATCCTCGAGTTTGACACTAGCGACCCAAAGTGAGCCAAACTGGAAAAGCATACAAACTGACCGCAGTGACCGCGAGTACCTCGAGCACTTTGAGCTTCTCGTTCGCTCTCTCCTCGTCCGTGACGACAAGCCCGCGGTCATCATCCTCGGGCACTTCAGCCCCCAGGTGCAGGCACAAAACGGGTACGCGGGCCCAGAGCTGCTGCACAACGTCGTGGCGCAGTTCTACGACGTGCCGCACATCAGTGCCAAGGGCCTGCTGTACGACCAGTACTTTGAGCGGCCGGACAGGGTGCTCTCGGAGAGCTACTTTGGCTCGCACCTGATCAACAAGGACGGGCACGACATGATGGCGGACGTGGTCATTTCTTATCTCATGTCGCAGATCTGCACGAGCTGGTCGTCGATGCTGGGCTACTCATTCAACACGCCTGCGCTAATCATTTCTGGCGAGTCCGGGAGCGGGGTGGGGCCGTTCGGCGGCCTCGGCCTGCGTCCGAACCAAGAGCCGGGCTTGCCGGAGAAGGAAGACGCAGAGCCGACAGGCAAGAACGCGGCGCTCGAAGTACCCTCGATGCGGCTGCAAAACTTGCCGAACGACGCAAAAGACTTTCACGAAGTACAGCCGTACTGCGTGTCCGCGGCGGACTTGGTCAACCCGCTGCCCGAGTCCATCTTTTACGGGTCGGGCTGGGTGACGTACCACCCGCCCGAGAACGCGATCGGCGAAGACAGGTTCTACTGGTACGCGGAGCAGCCGACGTCGCGGCTGCGCGTGCCGCTGCGCATTGGCGCGGGCGACGTCGGCATCTACTTTATCCAGCACCCGCTGGACAAGCCGGCGGCGACGGTCAAGTGCTGGGTGGACGACAACATGGATGGCGCCAAGACGCTGCGCGGCAACGCCGAGACCGAGGAGCCGATCGCGACGCTCCAGCTCATCGACCACAACGTGTCCCCCGGCTCGCACTTTGTCGAGTGCATGCTCGACGGCGAGAAGGGGGGGCCGCCGCTGCCGTTCAAGATCCTTGCTATGTGAGTGGCGTGGGGGACGCGAGCTGACGGCAGCGTGAACACTTGATTCTGGGCGAGCAGGTGAGCAGGCGACGTCTGACAACTGGCCGACTGGCTGGTGTCAGCAAGTCACCGTTCACCGAGCGAGTACGAGTACCGGAATCACCACGAAAAGGCGCATCCGCAACCACTGCATGCATTGTCACTGTGGATCCCCGTGGCGCGTGGCCTGTGGCCTGTGACCTGTGACCTGTGACCTGTGGCCTATGGGACCACGGGGATCCCCATAGCTATAGAGTAGATGAGATTCACGTATGATGAACTGGCTGGCTGTATGCTGCTACTGTTAGACGCGCGCCACTGTCCTTGGCAAACGGCGGGTGTGGGGATGGGGGATATAAGCGGGAGATCGGGAGACACTGATGGAAAGAGAGAGCGAGATGCGGGGCCGCCGGCGCCGGGTGTCCGCGATGGTGAAGCCACGGTGGATCGGCCTGAAAGCCGAATCGAGGGCGGGACGGGTCACCGCCCAAAACTCGACGGCATCCAGGCACGGGCAAGAGGCCCACCGTAGCCGCGCCTTCACCCAGGCAGGCAGGCAGGCAGGCAGACCTTCCTTCCCCAGCACATCGGCAACACGCGAGTGACATCCCCATCTCCTCCCCCCTCCTCGTCGTCGTCGTCCTCCTCTTTCTCTTTCTCCTTCTCTTTCCATTCTCATCTCTTTCTCTCTTCTCCATCTCTTTTACCCCCCTCCTCCCTCCCCCCTCCACCACCATGCTCCGCCTCGCACCCCTCCGCACCACCCTCGTAAGTCTCCACTCTCCACTGCCGCCGGCATGCCGCGGGGAAACCCGCCCCCCCGAGCCCCCGACGGACCGGCTCGCTCGCCTCACGCGCCTGTCACCTCTTGATATTGTTTTCATGCTGACGCGGGGCCCAGCGCGCACACGCTGCCCAAGTCCAGCGCCGCAACCTCAGCATCCACGAGTACCAGAGTGTCCAGCTGCTCAACAAGGTGAGTTGGTTTTTCGGTAGAGGCAAAATCTGGCAGAGGGAATCAGGGGGGGGTAGTCACGGTCACTGTAGAGGCGGGATCGCGTCGAGACGCCGACGCAGCGGCCTTGGCGATGGAGATGGGCGAGATGGACAAGGCTGACTTTGACTTTTGTCTGGGTCTCGCCGCTCACTTAGTTGCCTCCTTCCTTCACCTCCCCGCTGACATCAGTACGGCGTCCCCACCCCCAAGGGCGTCCCAGCGTTCACCCCCGCCGAGGCCGAGGCCGAGGCAAAGAACTTTGGCGGGCCCGTCGTCGTCAAGGCCCAGGTCCTTGCCGGTGGCCGTGGCAAGGGGCACTTTGCAAATGGGTTCCAGGGCGGTGTGCACATGGCTGATACGTGAGTACTGATTCGAGTTGGAGGACATGTCTGGAGAGGAGAGGTCATGGAGCACTCGCAAGCAGCGAGCAGACGGCAGCACCCAGCGACTGTGATAGCAGGCAAGCTCCTTTTTCATACGTTACGAGGAGGCTTGCAGCTCGGACAGCGGATCAGCGTTCAGCGCCGCTCCCTCGCAACTTGCACCCCCGCAGCTCCCGCCACACGCATGCCTCATGCCTCATGTCTGGCTGGTCGAGCTGGTGCCAGGCGGCTGCACCCACCGCACTCGCCGGGCCGCCGCTTTGCCGCATGTCCGGCTATACGATTGGGCCATCGGCGGTGGGCGGTTGGACTAGAGAGCTCGCCGGTTGGCTGCTTGACCTTTTGACTGTCGAGGGCCCCGCCGCCTGTCATTTGTGGGATGGTGGGCGGAACCCGGGGTTGAGTGAACCGGATATCCGGTTAGACTACTCCATGCCGGGCAACTCACCCTCCCAGATAGCCCCTCCTCCCGTATGAGCTCGCTGACACCCAGCCCCGCTCAGGCCAAGGACTTTGCTTCCAAGATGCTTGGCCAGAGCCTCATCACCAAGCAGACCGGCGCCGGTGGCCGCCCATGCAACGCCGTCATGATTGCCGAGCGGATGCCCCCCGCCAAGGAGTACTACGCTGCTATCCTCCTTGACCGTGCTCGTGGCTCTCCTGTGCTCGTGGCTTCCAACCAGGGTGGCATGAACATTGAGGACGTCGCACATGACACCCCCGAGGCTATCATCACCACCAACCTCGACTTTGAGAACGGCCTCTCCAAGGCTGACGGTGTTGCCCTCGCCGAGAAGCTCGGCTTTGCGGAGAAGTCGCGTGAGAACGCCGCCGACGTCTTCAACAAGCTTTACACCATCTTCAAGGAGAAGGACAGCACCCAGATCGAGATTAACCCCCTTGGCGAGCTTCCCGACGGCACTGTTCTTTGCATGGACGCCAAGTTTGGCTTTGACGACAACGCCGACTTCCGCCAGAAGGAGGTCTTTGAGCTGCGTGACAAGAGCCAGGAGGACGCCGAGGAGGTCAAGGCCGCCGAGTACGGCCTCAACTTTATCAAGCTCGACGGCGACATTGGCTGCCTCGTCAACGGTGCCGGTCTCGCCATGGCCACCATGGACGTGCTCAAGCTCTACGGCGGCGACCCGGCCAACTTCCTCGACGTCGGTGGTGGCGCCACGGCCGAGGCCGTCAAGGCCGCGTTCACCCTCATCATGTCGTCCAAGAACGTCAAGTCGATCTTTGTCAACATTTTCGGCGGCATCATGCGCTGCGACGTCATTGCCGAGGGCATTATCAACGCGTCCAAGGAGCTCGAGATGACCATCCCCCTTGTCGTCCGTCTGCAGGGCACCAAGGAGGCCGAGGCCAAGAAGATGATCAAGGAGTCGGGCCTGTCCATCTACTCGTACGACATTCTCGACGACGCAGCCGACGCGGCCGTCAAGCTCGCAAAGGGCGCCTCTTTGTAGTCTTGTTCGTAGATAGATCTGCTCTTGTATGATGTAGAATTGCGCGGCAGGGGGGTGTGCTCGGTGCTGAGGACTGGACTGCTTGACCAGTGTGTCACCCGATTAGATGTTGCAGCGCTGACTCTACATGACCCTGCGACCGCTGGCTTGCCGTCCGTCTCGACCATGTGCGACCCCAACCTGCTGCCCCACTTTGTCGCATACATCGTGCCACTGGCGGCCCATTGCCCATTGCCCATTGCCCACACTACGAGTACTGCCCACTTTACCATCCCCTTTGAGCGTCCTGCAGGCGTCTGCAGGTGTATGCAGGCGTCAGCAGGCGCAAGCCACGCGCACGCGTCAACCGAGTGTTCACTCAATCACTGCACTCACTCACCCTACTCGTAGAGTTAGTGAACAGCATCTCTTCATCGCTATTCGGCATCTGGGCTATGGGGCGTGAGGCGTACAAGACACTCAGCACATACTGTAGTCGCCGAGGCCGAGGGCGGTGCAGCGCGGTTCATACAAGAGCTGTGCCGCAGCGCATCTCGCTTGCTGTCTCCAGTCGGCTCGCTCCCAGTATTCTGGAGGGCTAGAGCGACGAGGAGATGGCATACTGTACACAGTCGAAGACGCAGCCGCGTTGAATTTTCAGCTGTGGCGACGCGTCACGTCGCGCAGCATGTCCGAGGTGGGCACATCAGGGCAGAACACAGGGTGGGGGCGCAGGGGGTGACGCTCGGATCACAACGCCCGCGCCGCCGTCTCCACAGTCGACGACAGGCAACGCAATGCATCCATCGTCTCTTTCTCTCTTTCTCAATTTCTCATCCTCTACTCTCCTCCTCTCTTGCACACTTACATCCTCGACAACGCCATCGTCGACACCGACACCCCCACTTCCAGCTCTGACGTGTGCCTGCTACGTCGATTTGTAACCGCGGACCCTGCCCAGCCTCCCGAGTTAACTGCCCTCCCTGCCTTTTGCTCTCTCCATCGCTCCATCTCCATAATCTCTCTCCACTCTCTCCTCTCTTCGCCCTCTGCCCCTCCCCCTCCTAGCCATGAACGCCCAGCAGCGCATCGAGCGCCAGCTCGAAGAGGTCCTCAAAATGCCCGGCAACGGTACGTCGTGTGCCTCCGCGTCACGCGAGCTTTCGGTCTCGGCGTACACAGGCATCTGTGCGCCGTAGCGAGTCCATCACCCCGCTCCACCCGCTCCATGACCGAAGACTGACTCCAGACCGTTGCGCCGACTGTCGCGCTGCCGCCCCTCGCTGGGCCAGTGTCAACCTCGGCATCTTCCTTTGCGTCACTTGCGCCAGCATCCACAGGAAGATGGGCACCCATCGATCGCGAGTGTGAGTCCTTTTCTCGGCCTTGGGATCTGGGGCGGTGGGGGGCGGTGGGGGGCGGTGAAATGGGGTGTTTGTCAATGCCGCCGGGATACAGGTCTTTGGCGGAGCTGGGGAGATCTGCGCGCGGAGCTTGTACCAGCGACGCCGACACCTCAACCCCTTCCTCAATGCCTAGGCAATGCTCCGAACCTGCCGTTCTGTTTCGGACAGTCCGTCCCATCGTTCACATCGGGTCGGCGGGCAAAGCTTTTCTTTGTGGGATCGCACGATGGTCCCATCATTCCGCTCCAAGGCGGTGGTTCTTTCATCGCCACTCACCCCAACACCCTACGTCATGATTTCGCTGACAGCAGCAAGTCGTGCACTTTGGACGAGTGGACGCGCGAGCAGGTCATGGGCATGAAAGAGATGGGCAACATCAAGTCCAACGCCATCTACAACCCCGACCCCAAGCGAAACCCGCCACCAGCAACTGTGAGCGATGAACGCGACTCGGAGATCCAGAAGTTCATCCGGCGCAAATACGAACTGGGAGCGTTCAAGGCTGGTGCTGGGCGAGACTTGGCTTCTGCGAGCGTCAACAGCCGCACCCAGGCGTTGCAGGCCCGCGGACTTGCTCCACCAAAGTCCTCGACCCCCCCTCCGCCCGACACGAACAGGTCGCTCCCTGCCCTGCCACCAGGTTCTTCGCGCCGCCCCGCCCGCTCAAACAGTAACGCTCCCGTGTGGTCGTCGCTCGGGCAGAGCAACACGGGCTCGAGCAGCTCGTCGTCATCCAACAGCCTCGCGCCACCCGTGACGCCCGCCGCGCTCCCGCCGCGCAGCGCAAGCCACTCGTCGCCAAACCAAGCCCCATCACTCCTCAAACCCGCTCAGGGCGAGCAGCGCAACGGCGACCTGCTGGTCGACACGGGCGGCTCGTCGTCATCAACACGGCCGCTCCAACTCGCCGGCTTCCCCACCGTGCCCGCTGCGCCGGCCGTCCTGCCCCTCCCCTCGCCCAACGGGCCGGCGCCATCGCCGCTCGCACTCGGTCAGCAAGCCTTCTTCCAGCAGTTCTCCCCGACCGCCGCGCCGTCCAACAACCCCTTCGCGATGCAGTACGGCCAGACCCTGTCGCCCATGGGCGCGCCATACATGCAGACCCACATGGGCAACCAGCTCGGCATGAACGGCATGAGCATGGGCAACATGACCATGGGCATGGGAGGCATGGGCATGGGCATGGGCATGGGCATGATGGGCTCGAGTCCCAACGGCATGTCTATGCAGCAGGGCATGAACTCGGCCGGGATGGGTATGAATGGCAGCATGGCAGGCGCCATGGGCAACGGCATGGGCGGCGTCCAGATGGCCCAGCCCGTCCAGTACCAGCAGCAGCAGTACTGGCAGTCGGGATACATGTAGCTGCTGCCCTGCACTATTCGGCGCGGACACTGGGATACCAAGATCGAGTTGCACTTTTTGTTGTATTGTAGACACGATGCAGGCGTAGAGATCAGAGATGATGTAGCCGAAGAGCTTAGACACGTCGTCCTTGTAGCTAAGAGTTGCGGACTCGTTGAGTGAGTGCATGATTCATCGTTCCCCGCCTACGAGCTCCCCACTCTCTTGTCATGGAGTTTACGAGTTTCATAACAGCAGAAATACATATCCCAACCCAGTGCCTCTAGCACGCGCCTTTGCGCTTGTGCCTTTTACGACGTCATGTAGGTGGCGGGGTCGATCGACTCAGGCATCGTGGGGATAGCGACGGTGAAGCGCTCCTGAATCTTCTTGAGAACCTCCTCGTCCTCGGCCGACGAGACGAACGAGATCGCAAGACCCTTGGTGCCGAAACGGCCCGCACGACCCACGCGGTGGAGGTACGAGTCGGCGTCGGCGGGCGCGTCGTAGTTGATGACGACGTTGACGCGCTCGACGTCGATGCCGCGGCCGAAGATGTCAGTCGCGACGAGGATACGCTTCTCAAACGCCTTGAACTGCTGGAAACGCGAGATACTGCCGCTGTCAGCTTCGCCCAAAGCGTGACTCACCGCTCCTCCTGCTTCAGAGCAGAGTGGATGCAGATAGAGGGGAAGTTGCACTGCTGCAGCAGCGTGTCGAGCTGCGTCGCGCGCGCAACCGACTTGACGAAAATGCAGACCTGGTTGAACTCGAGCGAGTCGAGCAGGTCGTTGAGCTTCCGGTTCTTCTCGCGCTCCTCGAGCTTGAGGAAGTACTGCTGCAGACCGTGGAGCGTCAACTTGGTCTCGTCGTCGACGTAGATCTCGAGGGGCTGGTGTGAGCAACGGGCGCCTTCGGTAGACACAGTGGGATATTGCCAGGCTCGACTCACGCTCTGCATGAACTTCTTGCAGGTTGTGCGGATCTCCTTCGAAAGGGTGGCCGAGAACATCATCACCTGCTTGTGGTGGGGCGTCGCCTTGAAGACCTCCTGAACGTCCCGGCGCATGTCTGTGGGTTAAAGTAAGGTTAGAGTTTGTGTCGGTGCCGCCAACAACGTCGTGGTGGCGAGAGCAGGGACAATTCGGGGTGGTGGACAGTGATGATGGAGTAGGCGGAAAAGGAGGCATGTAGTTGACGAAGAGAGGGGAAGGTTACGGGTAACAAACAGCATGTGTTGAAGGATGTGATAGTCGGCGAGCGAAGAGAGAAACCGTGAGCACTTATCCTTGAACGAACAGAAGATGATACAAGCCGGGGAATCGTCCCGACAGCCGATGAACCGAGACCGCGACCGAGGACGCAACTGCAAAGCTGCCCCTCTCTTGACACCGTCATTGCCTGCTCCGTTGCCTCGCCTGTCAAGGGTCACTGGCGTTCGGAGTCAAGCTCTTGGTCGTCTTGCCATTGTGCACTCGCCGGCTCGTAGAGCTGCAGTCGCACATCTCACACTCGCCTCGCCTCCGCGCAGGCTGTTTTCACGTCCATGCACGACGACGAAGGGGCGGAGAACATGTTGCAAGCTGCATGCGGTCGAAACGCAGTGCAGGAGCGACTTCTCAAGCAGCGCACCGCTCGAGCAGCTCAGTCCGACAACTCGCGCGCGAACGTCTTGCCCTGGCTCGTCACTCGGTATTGCTCCTGGGTGTGCGACACACTTGCGGTGCAGATATGCACACCCAAGACTCGGCCTTCGGCAGTCGGGACGGAAGGGAATAGTTGTAGAACCGGAAGGAAGTTAAGACTAACCGAGTTGATCAAGCATCTTGTCGCACTCGTCGAGAACGAAGTGCTTCACTTTGGAGGCGTTAAGCTTCTTGTCACGAACAAGGGCCATCAAACGACCGGGGGTGCCAACAACGATGTGGGGGCACTTTTCCTTGTTGGAGAGCACCTCAATGTCGGCCGAGATAGGAGTGCCGCCGTAGACGACGCCGGTGCGCACATTGGTCATGTACTTAGAGAAACGAGTGAACTCGTTACGGATCTGGTACGCCAACTCGCGCGTGTGGCACATAACAATGATCGAGACCTCGCCGTCGACAGGCTCGCTACATGTCAGCTTGTCATCATTTAAGCACGAGGTAAGCAGGACTCACATCTGCTGAAGGGAAGCAAGAACGAAAACAGCCGTCTTGCCCATACCCGACTTGGCCTGGCAGAGGACGTCGGTACCAAGGATGGCCTGGGGGATGCACTCCTGCTGGACTGGCCTGATCAGCGTCGCGCCTACAAGGAAAAGGATGAGATCTTACCCTCCGAGGGGTGCTCGAAACCAAGATCCGAGATGGCGCGAAGAATCTCAGGCTTGAGAAGGAAGTCACTAGGGGAGTTAGCGAGAAGCAGAGCCAACAGAGCCGCGCCGAGTGTGGAGACTCACCGGAAGCCAGTAGAGTGAATACCGACATAACTGCCCTTCTTCTCGCCGTCGGCCGCCTCGGCGCCGTCAGCGGCGGCAGTGGCTGCGGGGGCGACATAGGTGTCCTCGGCCTCGTCGTAGTCAACAAGCTCCTCAGTGTCCTCGGGCGCCATCTTGGAAGATATTGTGATTAGGTCTGTGGAAGTGCGTGAGTTGATTGAACTGAAGGGTGGTGGTGGTGGTGGTGTTGTTGTTGCGAGGAACAAGCTGCTGGCTGTGCACTCATGGCCGGTCGATTATATCGAGTTGAAGGGGGAGAGTACGCACGGGTAGGGTGAAGGGAAGAGGGGGAGAGATGACTCGTGGATGGTTGACAAGGATGGAAAGATGAATGAAGAAGAGATGGAGACGAGGTGGAACAAAGGTTGGCATCAACATGCACTCTGATCGAGGCGACGGGGGGTGTGTGCCGTGTGTGGGTGGCCTGCCTGGGTGAATTTGCTTCCGCTTCCTTCACTGCACCCAGTGCGACGCGCGGCGCGAGGTGGTCCACAGACTGAATTGGAATTTACTTCCGTCCCACGCGACAAGGCCCTCCACCAGGATCACCAGCCCACAAGGGATACTGCCGCAAATCGCCGAGAGTGGCGGCGGCGGCGGAGGCGAGCGGCGACGCGTCAGGTTTTAGGCGTGCGTCATAGATGGCAGAATTGACAATACGCAATACGCGTGGATTTGATCCCGGCTCTGAGGCTGTGGCAACTGTTATTGCGCGGCTTGTGGCCAATTCACCAATTAAGCCAGAGGATCAAAATCAAAGACATCCGTCATCCCCTCCACTCCATCCCCTCCTCCTCGGCCCCGCTAGCCCGCTTGCGCTCTCCCGCTCAATCCACTTGCTTGGCTCAACCCTTCAAGGCCTCGGCGCTCGAGCACTCTCCTACTCCCGACGGCAACGCTCCGATCACCCTCCGACGCTCTCGTTCTTAGGTCCCTTGTCACCTCGTCACCTCGTCACCTCGTCACCTCGTCACCTCGTCACCACGCCGCCGGCCCCGCCACCCCCCCCTTACCATCAGGACTGCCTACTTCACACGCGCCTACCTCGACACTTTCCCCCCCCCGCGCCTCCCGTCCTGCTCGCCTTGCCAGGCCATCGCTCGCCACACGCGCCTTTCGGCCAGCTCACCGATCATTCAACTGGGATTAGGCGCGTGAGATTGAAGTGGTGATTCCATTCATTCGGAACATCCACCCTCCTCACCCTCTAGCGTGTTTGGTCACCACCCAACCTTTGGTCCTCCATCCACTGACCGAAGCGCCCATACCTTTATCTAATCAACGGCAAACTCGTCAAGCATCCCCCTCGTCCCTCACCACCGCTGTCAGCAACCACCCCTCCTCTTGTGCTCGCCCTCCTCGCCAAGCGCCCCCCTCACCCTCCCTCCTCATCACCCTGCCCCTGCGACTTGTTTGGTCCGTGACTCGCCTTTACCCATCTCCGGTGTCGTGTCCGCCACACCACTCCTCATACTATCCCGCCGGACGCTCACCATCCTGTCTCGACGCGCAACACTCCCAAGAGTGCTGCTAGCATAGTTTGTCAATGTAAGTCCCGGCATCTGCTGAAGGCGTTCACACTCGCTGACGCGCCTTTCCACGGCTTGACCATACAACCCATTTCATCGCATCCCGCGCCACCTCGTCACTCACCTTGACCCCCACAGACCTCTTCCTGCCCTCTAGTCGCCGCACCGGGCCATCCGCCGGCGCGGTCTCGACCGCGACCTCTTACAGCTCGACGGCCGGCCTAAGGGGCCGGCCTTCGCGCACGCGCGTCTCGGTATGTCTCTGATCACTTTCAAGTTGACCACCACTTACACCAGTCGCCGCAATGTCTACGCCGCAACCGCCTCAACCGTCACCATCTCCCGTGCAGGCAAACGGCGTACCCGGCTTCCAGTTCAATCCGTTTCAACAGCTACAAAACGCCGGCGCGATGGACCCACGACTGTTCCAGCAACAGCAGCCGCAGATGGGCGTGGGCATGCAGAATTCGACCATACCAAATCGGCCAGGTGACCAGGAAGCGCAGTCGCAACAGCTACCACAACAGTTCCAGCAACAGTTTCCGCAAATGATGCAAGGGTTGCAGGGAGGCATGCGGCCTCCCTTCAACACTGCCAACCTTCCGCCCCAACAGCAAATGATGCTCATGCAACGGTTGATGCAGGCGCAGCAACAGCAGCAGCAACAGCAACAGCAGCAACAACAGCAACAACAGCAGCAACAGCAACAACCACAACAGCAACAGATGGGGCAATCGAACCTACACATGGCAATGGCGGCGCTGCAAGCGCAGCAAGCGCAGGGAGGAGGGAATCCTAACCCGCAAATGCTGGCCGCCTTGGCTGCCATGCGCAATATGCCTCCTGGTGGCGGACAGATGAGTGCACCGCAACAGGCCCTCCTCGCGCAGATCGCAGCCAACAACCCGGCCATGCAAGGTGGCCCTTCCGCCGCTGCGGCGCTGCAGACGCAGAGGTTGCAACAGTTCATGCAGCAGCAAATGCAGCATCAACAACAGCAACAGCAGCAGCAGCAGTCGCAGCAGCAGCAACAGCAGCTTGGCCTTCAAGGCCAGCAGCTCCAGCAGCAGCAGCATGGTGGACCGCAACAGCCACAGCAGCCCCAACCAGGTCAGCCTGGCGGCGTCATGACACCAGAGATGGCTCGTCTGCAGATGCAAGGGCGACAGTCTCCGGCTAGCGGGTCGCCCGCCCGTCCTCCTGGTTCGATGCCGCCACCTGCGCTCCCCCCCGGTGCTTCACCGCGGCCACCTGCCATGGCCCCTCCGGGCCAGCAGCAAGGCCATCCACCAGGGCAGCAACCGCCACGGTTCTCGTTGACTCCACAACAACAGCAAATGATCGCCTCACAAAGAATGGCCATGATGAACTCGCCACAGTTCAAGGCACTGTCTCCACAGGCCCAACAGCAGCAGTTGGTGCTGATGCAGCAGAACATGTTGCGCGTATTGTTCCAGCAGCAGCAGCAGCAGCAACAGCAGCAGCAACTGGCCGCCCAGCAGCAGTCCGCCCAACAGCCTCAAACGCCTGCCCAGCAACAGCAGCAGCCTCCTCAGCAGTCTCCGACCCTAACCCAAACCCATCAGAGTCCTATCCCCGCATCCAGCATCCCACAACACCTCGCGCCGAACCGTCCCGGCTCGGCCGCTTCTCAAAGAGCACCGTCTCCTCATCCGTCAATAGGCGGGCCAGGATCACCTGCCGTTCGCCCCATCGCCGCCACGCCCCCGCCTCAAGCCGGGACTCCTGCCCCAGGCATGTCTTCAACACCAGCACCTGCCGCGGCATCTCCCGCGTTATCGCATCACTCTCACCCTGCCTCTACCCCTCAGCAGCACCAGCCGTCTGCATCTCCCATGCCGCCAGGAGGGCCCGACGGCAACAGGACGCCGTCGGTCCAGCCCATGGGCGTCAGCGTCAATGGCCCGGCGGGTCCAAACGGCATGCCCAGCTTCCCCGGACAGCCTTCGCAACAGGCCATGCACGCAATGCAGGCCATGCAAGCCATGCAGCAACAGCAGGGTCTTCAAATGAGTCCGCACAATGGCAATCTACCTCGCCCGTTCCCACCTGGCATGATGCCCGCCGGTATCCCCCCTGGGGCAGTGCAGAACATGACACCAGCCCAGAGGCAGCAAATGGCTCAGGCTTTGGGTTATTTCTCGCAAGTTGGGCAGGGCCAACAGCCTGGCGGACCACCCGGCCCTCCACCAGCGGGTCAATCGCCAGTGCGGCCACCAGAAGGGCAAGGTGGTCCGCTTGGGATGATGCCACAGTTCCGTCAGCTGGATGATCTCAAGGACATCAATCCCAACGAGTTCCCATTCAACCCGCAGCTGCTGACCGTTCTACCTCAGCTAACCAACCCTCAATGGCGCGAGCAAATGCAACAGCGGAGTCCTCAGCACTTCCACGAGCTGGTCTCCATCTCACATCGGATCCACACTGGCCAAATTGCCCCCGCCATGCTGCAAAAGATGCAAAAGTACTACGGGGCGATGCAGGCCTTCCAGGCCCAACGAGCACAGCAAGGACAGCCACCCATGGGTCCTCAAGGACAGCCTATGGGCTTCCCTCCACACCCAGGCATGCCGCAGCCACCGATGGGCGGCCTGCAGAGCGGACCTCTCCCGCCAGGTGGTATGCCTCCGGGACAACAGCAGCAGCGCCCTTGGCTTCCCCAGCAAGGTTCAGCATCTCCGGCAACTCCCTCGGCTCGCCCTCCGCCAGCGCACATAGCTCCGGGTTCTGTGCCACCGGAGTCGCCTGCCTCTGCCCACGGTCGGCGGGCTGGCAAGCAGGAGAAGCAGCGCGAGAGCACGATGCCTCCACCCACCTTTATACCGTCGCACGGCACCCCTGGCCGACCACCAGCGCCAGAAACTCCGGCAGCCCCTCAACCGCCGCAGCCGGGTGCACTGCCCGTCAAGGAGTGGGAGGGCCACGTGAAGCTCGAGCTCCCCATCACCCAGATCACTCCGCTTCCCATCGATGATATCGACGAGAGGGTAGACCCCACCTTTGATGGCAAGCTGCCCGAATTATCGGAGAGCGAGAAGGAAGAGATCAAGCTGTCCATGCAGCGCGACAAGGACTTTGCCGCCAGCATACCGGAACACCGCAAGAAAACCGGAGCTAAGATGGCGCGCTGGAAGGACAACGAGGAGCGTTCTACCCCTTGGTGGATGCTGCGCAAGGGCGAGACCGTACCCCCTCGGGCTGTAGGTGGCAGGTTAGCCATCCTTTACCCGGCCGACAAGGCTGCGCAGAGGTTGAAAGCTCGCAAGCGCCGCGAGATCCGATTGTTTGTCGCTCGCTTGAAATTTAGCTGACTTTAGCACCCCTGAGCAACTCAAGTCTATGGCCGAGGTGGAGGACCACTGCGTGCCAGTCCGTCTCGAGCTTGAGCACGACCACCATCGGTTCAGCGACACGTTTATGTGGAACTGCTCTGGTGAGCATCGCTGCTTTGACTCCCTCCCGCTTACCCTAGACACTGTGGTGACTCCGGAGCTCTTCGCGCAATCATTGTGCGATGACTTCAAGCTGCCGCCCACCCAGTTCGTGCCCAAAATCGTTGCTGCGATCAAGGAACGCGTGCGCGAGTACCAAGATCAGGTCCTACCGATCCAGCCAGCTGTGGACGTCTCCGGCAAGGGCAGTCTTGACGAGGACGAGGGCCAGGCTATCCTTGAAACCTTCCGCCGCGCTCACGAGGCGGATGACGAGGAGATCAAGACGGACGAGGGCGCCGACGAGGACGACTCACACATCCGCATCGTGGCCTTCGACGACGATGACGATGACAAGGTCATGACCGTTGAGGAGGCGATGGTTTGCATGCCGCCGCCCTCCGACGACAATGAGTTGCGCATTCTCATCAAGCTCGACATCATGGTCGGCACCCAGAACCTCTCGGACACGTTTGAATGGGACCTAAACTCGACTGTGCCACCGGAAGAGTTTGCCGCGTCCTACTGCCGTGACTTGGGGTTGAACGGCGAGTTTGTGTAAGTCGCTTAGGGATGGGCATCTGCTGACTGAAGTACTGCGATTGCCCACGATATCCACGAGCAAATCGTGACTCACCAGCGGTCTCTATTCCTTGTCGGTCACACCCACGGTGCGGGGTACATCCACAATGACGACGTGCGCAGTGCATTCCAGCCACCTCTTACGTGTGCGTTGCGCAAGGAGGACTTGGCCATGGCGCAGTTTACCCCCGTTCTCGCCAACTTCAGCGAGGCCGATGTGCAGGCGATCGAGAAGGAGCGCGAACGCGAACGCAAGCGGAGCAAGCGCCACACGCGTGGCCGTCGTGGAGTTGTCCTCCCAGACCGCGAGCCTCTCAAGACAATGCGCACGCTGCTCCATCCCACCATCGATCCGAACGCTCCGATCCCCGAGCCGGTGGTAGTTGCCCCGACGATCAGCAGCACACGTCGTGCGGCTGCTATCGCGGCGCAAGCGAACATCCAGGTGTCGCTGCAGGATATCCCCATCCCCGACCGGCCAGCATCCCCGCCGCAGGTCCACCACCTGCGCGGCGCTCACAAGAAGCAGTCGCTTCCCAGATTCTCGCGTGGGGCGTCACGAGCCTCGCCGAGCTCGACGCGTGAGGGCTCGGTCGTCAATGGCGATCACACGCCAACGATCGGGTTCAAGCGACACCTCCGCGAGGATTCTGAGGATCTCAGCTCTCCCATCCCCCCACGCAAGCGGCACAATGGGCGTGTGGCGGACAGCCCGGACCTGGACGATGAGATGGGTGAGGATCAGCCTCCACGCGCTGTGCAGAAGGCGCCCTCCCCTGTGCCTGTCAAGCAGTGGCACTGCAAACACTGTGGCGTGCCGGAGACGCTCGCTGGCGTCAAGATGAAGGACGTGAACGGGCAGCTGGATCTGTGCGCAAAGTGTGGCAACCATCTGCAGCGCACCGGGCGCAAGCGCAACGTCGATTACAACGAGGACGAGGAGTACCACCGACTGCTGGACTCTGGGCCGAACTCGGGCGCTACTTCGCCATCAGCCTTCGACCTTCCCGCTCCCAGTCCGCGAAAACGTCCGGCGGACGAGAGCGGGTCGAGTTCGTCAGGGTCAGACAGCGACAGTGATGACTACGACGACTCTGCAGAACGCAAACGCAAGCGGGCCAAGCTCGCAGCCGCCAAGGCGACCAGCAAGCCAAAGAAGGAGACGCCGGCGCCCGCCACGCCCGCCACCCCCGTCGCGGCGCAGCATGGCCTGCCCCCCGATGGGCCGCAGCCGCCGGCGTGGGCGCGCCAAGCCCTCGTCAACATGAACACGAAGTATCCCGGCTCGCGGTTCGTATTCACGATGAAGGCGCGCCCTGCGGACCAGCCTCAGGCCGAACCGCAGTGGCGCGTCAAGTGTCCCGACTGCCCGGGCAAGATCTACACGCTCGGGCCGGGGGAGACGCTCGACAACTTTGAGGCGCACGCAAAGTACAAGACGCACACGGCGAATGTGCAGCAGCGCATCGCGACGCACGGGTATTAGGGGGGGGAGGGTGATCGTTCCGGGATGCCATACCTAGGGTATAGAGCCATGTAGCCTCGACATGCATGTTTTCAGATTACGGTGTGTGCTATGTGGATGGGTGGTTGTGAGGAGTGAGGGTGGGCTCATGCCGTGATGGCCCGCCCCTCAGGCTTGACCTTTGTCGCGGTCCAAAATGCACACTGCGGTCAGCGCACCAGCCATGCAGCAGCCGAGCTTACGTTGTATACGTGCTCCAGCATAGAGTCGGGTACGCCCGTATACGTCGATGAGATGGTGCGTTCGTTCTGGTGTCAGCGCGCGCCAATACCAACACGTACCGAGATTTCGAACCCGACCATGCGCGCGAGCGCCTTGACCTCGTCGAGACTGAGCTCGATCGAGCCCTCGCCCTTGGGCGACGTCCCTGCGTTCTCGAAGTGCCACAGCAGAGGGCCGACGTTGATCCACACCCCGCCGTCCGCCAACAGGCCATGGATGATGCGGAGGTAATTGAGGACGTTGCGCGCGGTATCAATGAAGAAACACGTCACGACAGCTCCCCACCGGCCACGCTGGTTGATGCGGCCGTGTTCTTCCTCATCTTCCTCATCTCTAACCTGCGCGCCATGCCCATTCCCCTCCTCTTCCCCATCGCCAAACCAGTGCGTCGGACCATACACCTCCTCAAAGTCGCCCGCGACGAGGCTGAACCAGCCGCGCCCGCCAAGGATGTCGGCGGGCACGACGTCTGGCACGCGCACGCTGCGCAGCAGCCCATGCTCCGTCGACGAGTGGTTCGAGAAACTGTGCAGCCACGGAAAGATCGTGTGCTCGCCTACGCGCGTCGACCTGCGTCAGCTCCCTCGCGGGTGTACGCACTGGTTGAGCGCAAAGTGGCTCCCGATGAGCATGTACGTGCTGAACTCGTTGCCCTGTGCCCAGAAGCCTCGCGCCGCGATCTCCATCGCGAGCCGCCCCAGCCCGCAGCCGGGCACGAGGACTTTGACGTCCCCGCGCCCCGCGGCGGGGAAGTGTGCGTCCAGCGCAGCAAGAATCGGCGCGTAGCATGCGTCGCGCTCAGCGCGGCCCTCGACCGCCCAGTCGCGCACAAAGGAGCGCAGCGTGCTCCGCACCTTGTCCTGCCGCAGGTCGCGCTCCGCGGCCGCCGTCTTTCCCGCCGGCGCAGGCCCGTCCGCATGGCCGTGCGCGTGTCCATGTCCGTGACCATGTCCGTGTCCGTGTCCGTGTCCGTGCCCATCACCATCGCCGTCCAGCGACTCGTCGTCTCGCCCCGCCCCCTCCGGCTCGGCCAGCATGTCCGCGAACACCGGGTCGGCGATCATGAGATCGATGAATTCCGCGTTAAGGCGGATCCCCTCGTCCACGGCCTCAAGCTTCTCGCGGTATCCGAGCGTCTCGAAGACGTCGCGCGCGTCGCGCGGCAGAGCGAGGAACGCCATCCGGCGCGCATGGTTGGCCGAGAGCTGTCGTCAGATCGGTCAGAGCGAAACGCACGTGGTACTGCATGTATCCGTCGAATGCGCGCAGCACATCGCGCCAGTGGGCGCGCTCTTCGGGCGAGTTGGCCATGGTGTGGCTGTCGACGTTTCAGAGACTTTGTTGATGAGGAGAGCAGTTGGCTCTAGCTTGGGCGCGCGATAGCAATTAGATCTTGGACAGGCACGCGTGCGGATCGCGTGGACTGACGTCGGGCACAAGGTCAGGAATCGGGCCGTTTGTCGTTCTTCATCCCCTCTCATTGACGTCGGTGGCAGTTCGCGCGGCCCTCGTTTTGTCGCGGAGCAAGCTTGCTTCGCATCGTTGAGCACCCCGAAGAACATTGGATCAAGGTACTGTGGTCTCGAAGCAGAGCCGCTCGGGAAGTTAGCGGAAGGTTGCAGCTGCCGACGGTGACCCGGGCCGGCCGAGGCACGGGCCGTTACCAACCGCGCCATGCCGGACGTCGCGCACGAGATATTAGCCTCGGCCCGATCTTGCCAGTGACGCATACTTAGTACATAGACGGCAGGGCTTGAGATGACTCAGATACTGACACTCTCGACCTACCACTCATCATGGCACCGCACACGATCCGCTGGGGCATCATTTCGACCGGGGGCATCGCGACGACCTTCGCAAAGGTGAGAGCGGGTGCCGCCGCACCACTGACTCCAGGACCTGTTGGTGGACCCGACGACGCGCAACGTTCACGACGTCGCGCACAAAATTGCGGCGGTCGGCTCGCGCTCCGTCGCGTCCGCCCAGGCGTTCATCGACAAGCTGAAGAGCTTCTCGGGACCGAGCAGCTGGGGCGTGCAGCACGGCGGGCTCGACGGTGCCACGCCCTATGGCTCGTACGACGAGGTGTATGCCGACCCCTCCGTCGACGTCGTGTACATCGGCACGCCGCACCCGTTCCACCACCAGAACGCCAAGGCCGCCCTGCTCGCGGGCAAGCATGTGCTCTGCGAGAAGCCGTTTGTCATGGACCTCGCTGAGCTTGACGAGCTGATCGCCATCGCGAAGGAGAAGCGCGTCTTCCTCATGGAAGCAGTGTGGACGCGCTTCCAGCCCATCGCGTACGCTGTACAGGAGGTCCTGCGCTCGGGGAAGCTCGGCCGTCCGCGCCGCGTCACTGCCGAGCTGTCGTCGTGCATAAACATGGACGAGCTGGCGGACGACGACCGCATGATCGACCCCAAGCTTGGCGGCGGCCCGCTTCTCGACCTCGGACCGTATCCTGCCGTGTGGGGCATGCTGGTGCTCCACCAACATCCGCAGAACCAGGACAAGGAGCCGCAGGTTGTGGACTTCAGCCAGCGTATCTACAAACGCAACGGCATCGACGAGATGTCCGCGTTCACCGTCAGGTGGGAGGGGCTCGCCGAGGCGCGCCTCCTGACCGACTTCACGGCGTGCACACCGCTCGACAACGCCTGTGTTGTCGACTGTGAAAAGGCGCAGCTTATCATCGACCGTAGGTTCAGCACGCGTTTCCGCTGACTCGGACAGACCCTCTCTATCGCCCCGAGCGCTTCCGTATTGTGCCTCACGCGGGCAGCACCGACGATATCCCGAAGGAGACAGAGCACCGGTACCCTGTCCCCGCCGGCAACGGGATGCACTACGAAGCGGACCACGTCGCGCGCTGTCTCCGCGACGGCAAGCTCGAGAGCGACCGCATGCCACTCACCGAGAGCCGCATCGTCCAGGGATGGTTCGACACAGTCCGTAAAGGCGGAAACTCGGTCCTCAAGGACTGGCCGCATACCGCCGGAAAGTGATTATAGCGATGTACATGTGGTGACTCTACAACTAGACCAAAGCCCAAACCCTACTCATACCAGAATGGGAGCCCCGACCTGCAACAGCGCCTGCTTCCAGTCCTCGCCGGCGCATACTGCGTCAAGCGTTGCGAGTGCTGCGCGCGGCCCAGCGCTGCCCTTCCAGCACAGACGCACCATGAACGTGCGGTACTGGCTTTGCTCTGGGGGCAGCGCCGACGTGGAGAGGATAAGAAGGGAAATGAGGAGCCCTGATTCAGTGCCCCATTTGATGACAGGGAACACCTGTAGAGCGTCGCGGACGCATTGCTGAGCTGTCAGCAGGGAGCCAACTCGTTCGCGTACCTGGATGCGGTAGTCCTCTATCGGATACTGGAAAACGTGACGCAGAAGGAGGACGCGGAGCGCGGCGTTTGCGAGCTACGGTCAGCTATTGTCTGAATATCGACTCACCAGAGACCCGATGGCGACGCGCCGCGCTTGCCCGGGCAGCGAGGCGTAGCGGCTCATATCGTGCTCCAGCCTGTGTCCAAGAGTCGTGATCAGCTCGTCGGCCTCAAGTTGCGCGGCGAGCACCGAGGCTGTGTCGTGCCGCCTCGCCTGCTCCAGCAATGCGTAGACACGCATGAAGTCCTCTGCGCGCTCATAGGGTGCAGCGAATACGTTGTCGACGTCAGAAGAGCGCGGGCGGGTCGGCAGCGAATCAACAAGCGGCTTGAGCATCGGGCGGCCCAGCACAACGCCAATGCTGAAGTTGAACATGGTCTGCCACATCGATGCGAGAAGGACGAAGAACTGCTCGTGCTCAGTCGGGTGGTTGAGGGAGCGGAGGGCGACGGAGAATGCAGCGTACAGGCCCGGCAGGAGGCGTGTGTTGCCGTCAACGACCGCCAGGCCGACGAGCTGCGCGAAGGCGCCGAGGATGCGCTCGCGCTCCTCTGGGGCGGCGCGCGCAAACCCGTCCATCTTGGAAGCGATGAGCGTGTACGCGCGCTTGCGGCACGAGTGGGCGAGGTCGCGCCACACGCCCGAACCCTCGGTGCGGGTGCTGTCCATCAGGTTGGCGCGATGCGTCGCGGCCGTCGCCTTGATGGCGTGCAAGGCGGGGTTGTCGTCATTATTGCCACGCAGCGTGGACGATAGCGCAACGGGCACGAAGTGCTTCACGAAGGGGTTGTCGTGCGTGTCCAGCTCGATGGCGATGCTGATGGTGCTTTGCACATCGACGAAGTGGTGAATCAGGCGCGCGTCGGTGTCGCTCAATGTCTCGAGCGCCGCCTGCGGCACTGTGCCGCGCAGCGCGGCGCGCGTGTCCAGCGGCGCGTTGAAGCGTTGCTGAACAGAGTGCGGCTCGACGTTTGGGCTGTGCGACGGCTCGGTGCGCTCGGACGTCAGCGACTCTTGCGCATGCGCCGTGATGTATGCCATGCTAAAGTCAGCGATGCCTCGCATCCACTCACCCAGTGGTCATATCGGGCATTGACGCGCCAAAGAGGTCCTTGAGCAGGTCATCAAACGAGATGAACTCGTCCCCGACACCCAGGTCGATCTGGTCGAATGGGCTCACCGGCATCCCCATCGGCGGTGGCATGTCCGCTGGGATTGAGGGCACATTCGAGCTCGAGCTCGTGCTCGCGCCGGGTACTGCCGACGAGAAATCGTCGCTATTGAAGCCGTGCATCCCGCTACCGCTTGGCCCACTAGGCCCGCTTGCGGCATTCGGATAGCCCCCTCGGTGTTGCGGAGTTGAGCCCATGCTGCTCATGCTCACTCGGTGTTCGTCTGCGCGCGGTGTCGTCGCCCACATCGGCCCTGGCCCCATGCTCATCGTCGCGCCTGTGCGCATCCCGCTCATCGGGTGGCCGCTCGGGCTCGGCGTCGGCCCGTCGTCATAGCTCGTGTCGGACAACGCCGACGACATGTTGGAGCGGCGGCGGTTCCCCACGCTGGCCCCGAAGGGGCGGTCAAAGTCACACGCCGTGCGGCGGTTCATACACCGGCCACAGACGGGGCGCACCTCGTCGCACTGCGATTAGTACCCTGCGCGCTCGACGGCGCGGCCGATTTCCGGCCGTCCGGGCGCCAGACTCACCTTTTTCCGGTCCTATATGTCAGCGCGTCGCGCACAGTCTCAACCCACCCGGCGGCACTGGTTGCACCCTGTTCTGGAACGCCCGCGCGTCTGGCGGGTGGCTCCCATGTATGTTTCGTGGTCGTAAGAGAGCGGGGTCGTATGAGAGGGGTGATCGGGTGCGGCGGCGTATACTTAAGTTGAGCAAAGCCAGGAGAGCGAGCAGATTGCAGGTGGGCATGTGAACAGATCGCGGGACCTGGGACATGTGCGATCACCGCGATCGCTGTGGCAGCGAATAGCCGATCGGCACCGAGTGCCTCCTTGGCACTCATTTTCTATTTGACGTCACGTCTCCACTATCGCCATGGTTCAATGGAGCATTCATGAGCCTAATAGAACAGTCAGACAATACCTGGTTGGATAGAGAAAAATGCATTGATGAGTCTAAGATACAACTGATGACTACTGGCACAGGCCCAAAGTTAGAGTTCGCCTAGATTTCGCTCAGAGCCTAGGACTGGCGCTGCGAGTCGTACGCCATGACGGCGTCGAGGAGCACCTGGGTGCCGAGAGCACAGTCCTCAGCCGTGCACCACTCCTCAGGGTTGTGCGACAGGCCGTCCTTGCAGGGCACAAAGATCATGCCGGTGGGGCAGTGGAGGGCTGTCTGGCACGAGTCGTGGCCGGCACCGCTGTAGATGTCGCGGACGCGGTCCTGGCCAACGGCCGACTCGGCAGCGGCGCGGATGGCGCCGACACACGAGGGGTGGAACTTGGTCACGGGGAAAGCGGAAAGCTTGTTCCACTCTACGGTGCAGCCGCGCGCGGCGCTCCGGCAGATCTCGTCGGCGCGCGCGCGCAGGTCCTTCTCAAGCTCGTCGAGCTTGTCGTCGTCCATGTGCCGGATGTCCATGGAGAACTTGACGGTCTTAGCGACCGTGTTGATTGACCCGGGCTCGAGCGAGATGATACCGGTCGTCGCGAGACCGTCGTGCTTCACGGCGACATCGTTGGCGGCGGCGATGATGCGGGCCGCGACGAGCATGGCGTCCGAGCGCATGTCGAGCGGCGTCGTGCCGGCGTGCGAGTCGCGCCCCTTGACCACCATGTCGAACCACCGGTACCCCTGGCCGCCGATAACGACGCCGACCTTCTTCTCCTCGCGCTCGAGGATGGGACCCTGCTCAATGTGCAGCTCAAAGTGCGCACCGAGCTCTGTGTCCTTGTACGAGCACGGTACGTCGCCAAGGTAGCCGATGCGCTCGAGCTCGGACTTGACGGTCGCCTGCGGGTTGTGGATATCGGCGAGCGCGTAGCTCTGCTCGAGAGGCAGCACGTCGGCCCACACGCCCGAGCCGAACATGGAGGTGGGGAAGCGAGCGCCCTCCTCGTTCGTCCAGGTCACGGCAGCGACGGGGTACTCGGTCTCGATGTTGTTGTCCTTGAGAACGCGAAGGACCTCAATCGCGGCCATGACACCGATGATGCCGTCGTAGCGCCCGCCAGTGGGCTGGGTGTCGAGGTGCGAGCCCATCGCAGTCGGCGCGCCCTCCTTCTTGCCGGGACGGATGCCGAACATGTTGCCCATGGCGTCCACGACGACCTTGCACCCGAGGCGCTTGAGCTCGGCCGTAAACCAGTCGCGCACCTGCTTGTCCTCGTCGGACAGCGCGAGGCGGCACATGCCAGTCTCAATTTCCCCACTAAAGGTTAGCTACTGCAGTAGCCGAAGTGCACTTACGGTCCCCAGCGGTGGGCAGCGCCGATCTCGCACGTCTCATGGAGTGTAGCGTTGAGGCGCTTGGCGTCGACGCGCAGGTCTCCCGGCTGGTAGATAGTCTTGGTCATTGCGGATAGAGGTTTGGGTGATTCAGTGTGCAGTTGGGTGGGTGCTCCGCAAGACGCAAGATATATATGTAGCGACGTCGGCGTGCGATGCGCAAAGCCGTAACCGACCACGGAGCTTGGCGGAGGTCGCGCGGGCCGTTACACGAGATTGACTGGTAGACGGAGCAGGGTTGCCACCGCACCCAGAACGCGACGTCGTATGTCGTATCTGGAAAGGTGGCCAGCCACATGTCAGCGGCAGGCACATACGACATCCTTCTGCCGCTTCATACTCTGCGTTCTGCCTGATCCGACGCAGGCATCGTCAGTATCGACGTTCGCGTCACCCGGCGCTCTGTGCTGTATCCGATGACCCCGGACCGATAAGGAATACCCGATGCGGGGTGCATTCCAGTGGTGTCGTGTGAGAGATAGCGCTTGCCCACGCCTTCTGGTCGGATTGCGGATGCCCACCAAGATCATGCCGCATCGCGACGGTTGTCCCTGCACGCAGCGTCACGGAGCGACAGCGAAACGCGATTCGGTATAATGGTCGTCCGTATCCGAACTCATGCGACGCAGTAGTGTGGTGTGTCCTTACGCCGCTGGGCGCACAGCGAGCGTCGGAGGTGACCGACATTGGCTCAGTGGTTCTCAGTGTGTATTCCCCCATACCATTCGATCCTTACACGGCCTGAACAGTTCTAAGAGTAGGGGATAGCGGAAGGGCGCTCGGCTCCCCACGGTTCTTGATCGTGGGAACTTAGAACCAGCGGTGTGTGTGTATAGGCTTGTGCTTCCTTCGTGACGCGTGTGGCGCCACATCCAGTAGGTGCCACCCTCAAAGACCCATGGCTCGTTCTCCCAGATTGCTAATCATGCAGCGCCTTGCTTGATAACTTCTTTTTAGGCCTACATGATAACGCTCTACAGAGGTCGCATGTGAGTGCTCTCGTCTCGCAGATGGCTACTGATGATTTCTCCGGAATTGCCTCGATTGTCTGGTGGTCTGATGACAGTTCCTCACAGAATGATTTCCCACTGTTCCACCCAGGCTTCGAGGCTCGATGGGAAACCCGTTTGTATGACGCATGTACCATATGTCTAGCCACAAGCGACGATACGATGCACTTCACTGCCACAGGCGCCTCACCACTCGGTCAGGCTGCTCATGAAACGGTCTCGTGAAAGGGGAGAAGCACTCGCGGTCGCAACGACCTGTCGGCCTCCTCCGGCACGCACCGTATCGGCGAAGCCAGCTCCTTCGTGTATCTTCTCGAGATGGCAGCACTGTGGGGGGTCACTCGCCTCGCACACGCCAGATAGCCGAGAGCACCAGGCGGCATCGCCCAACGAGGATGGGCGCTTCACAGTTGCGGCAGGGAGGGCTCACGCGTAAGCGATGGGATGCTGCCTCTTGAACGGCATTACCAGTGACCGTCTGTGTGTTGGGTAGATTGTCGTATGGATCACCGCCACACTTCCGCGGAGTCACCGGCTTAATGGGGTGTAACAGACGATTTGTTGTGGCTGAGCCAATGAACTGGCTCACGTCAGCGCCACAAGGGCGACAACTTGACGCTATGTCAGTCTTCAGCACAACCACACGAGTGGAAGCGTTATCTAGCTGCATGTAACGCCTGAAGCTCGCGCTTAATCCATATCGTTTCTGCCAAGTGCAACGCCGTACAGCAAGATACGTATACGCGCCGCCGTATCGTGGTCATGTGATAGGAGGCGTTCGGCGAGGTGGTGCGCGTATGGCGTCTAAACCGTATGTTGGGCAGCTGACGCAGGGCTTTCCCCGGCAGGCCCGGCAGGCCCGACTGAGCCCCACTTCAGGGCTTTTCAAGACAAAGCTACTCCAACGATCGCAGCGAGATAACATCCCCAAGTCCCCCATATCCCCGTGGTCGCACCGGCGACGCCAAGACTGACGGTGGGCACATGGCGAGCAGGTGATGCTTAAATACCTCTCGGCAGGCGATAGCATACCTCCATCCCCCTCCATCTCCCCCATCTCCTCCCGGCATGACCTCCAGCAAGAGCTCGTCCATGCCCGAACTGTCCGAGAAGGGCGTTGTGCAGACACTGCCAGCGCCCGTCGACAACCCTCGCGGCGATGCTCAGCTGCAGCGTGCCCTGCGCAAGGTTGACTACCGCCTCATTCCGCCTCTCGCAATCCTTTATCTCTTCTCATACCTTGACCGAGGCTCGCTGGCCAATGCCTCGATCTTCGGCATCAAGGAGGACCTCGGCCTCAGCCCCGCGCAGTACAATATGCTCGTCACCGTCTTCTTCTTCGTGAGTGGCGATGCTCTATCCCTTTTCGAGAGTCTGGCTGACATCAGACATATGGTGGTATGGAAATCCCCGGCGGCATCATCCTCTCCTACGTCAAGCCCAAGTACTGGATCGCAGCCATCTGCTGTGCCTGGGGCATTGTCATGACCTGTTCCGGTTTCGTGCAGAACTACGGGGGCGCGATCGCTGCGCGCCTCTTCCTCGGTATCACTGAAGCGTCCTTCTTCCCCTCGGCCCTCGTCCTCGTCGGCAACTGGTACCCGCGCCTGCAGTTCCAGACGCGTATCACGGCCTTCTACGTTATCGGCGTCTTCAGCGGCGCCTTCTCCGGTCTCCTCGCCTACGGCATCCACTACATGGACGGCGCTGCCGGCCTCGAGTCCTGGCGCTGGATCTTCATTCTCGAGGGCATTGCCACTGTCGTTCTCTCGTCGCTCATTCTCATTTTCCTGCCTAACGACCCCGAGAGCTCCAAGTGGCTCACCCGCTCCGAGAAGGACGCCATCCTCGCCAACAACAGTGCAGAGGGCAACGACGGCCACAGCCACTTCCAGTGGAAGTACCTCAAGGATGTGGCGACCGACTACAAGGTAAGTTTTGGCGCAACAACTTTGATTGGGTGAAATGAGTTAATATCAGGTCCTTATGTGCACATGGCTTAGCAGCTCGGTCAACATCGTCACCTTTGGTTTCTCGTACAACCTGCCCTCGATTCTTGTGCAGATGGGCTACAAGGCCGAGATTGCTCAGCTCATGACTGTCCCCGTCTACGCCAGTGCGTGTGTCTTCACCCTCGCCTCAGGCATCTACTCGGACCGTCGCCAGGTGCGCTCGCACATGATCGTGGTCGGCTTCACGGGCGCCCTCGTCGGCCTTATCCTCCTCTACGTTCTCCCCAAGGACCGCAACCCCGGGGCGCGCTACGCTGGCTGTAAGTTTCCCTTCTATCCAATTGCTCAGCGATGCTAACAGACAGGCATGATCCTCATGTCCGGCATCTACATGTCGTTCCCTGGTACGCTCGCGTGGAACTCGAACAACGCCGAGAGCAAGGGCAAGCGCAACATCTCGATGGCGTTCCAGCTCACCATCGCGTCGCTCGCCACCGCCATCGGCACTAACTCGTATCTCGGCCGCGAGGCGCCATACTACCCCATCGGCTTCGGTCTCTCGATGGCCATGTGCGCCTCGTCCATTATCGTTGCCATTGCGCTCAACCTCCTCATCCGCCGCGAGAACCGCAAGCTGGACGTGGTCGAACGCGAGACAATGGCCGCCGGCACGCCTATGGACGAGGCTGAGCTCGTCAAGCTCCGCTTCCGCTACATCCTGTAAGGCAGGCAGCTGTTCCAAAATCAAGACTGTCAGGGTGCGGGTGAGAGTTGGAGAAGAGTGGTTGTGAGGAGGTATGTGGGTTGTCACGGGAGAGTAGAGGCCGAGGTTGTTGGGGAATGGTATAGTCGGCTCGATTGCGAACCGTCATTGGGTTTACGTTCATAGAAGGGGTAATGTGGCTAGAGCCGCAGCGCGCGAGCTGCTGAGCTAGTTGTACACTGGTAATTGCACATGCCATGATTCAAATGATAACTACCTGTTGTTGATGGAATCGTGTACAAGTTCACCTCTCAGCTGCCCCGTGGCAAGGACCTCAGCTAATCAGGAAAGACGTAGTCGAACAGCCTGTCCACGCAGTTCGGGTTCTCGCTCCCCTCGCGGAAGTGCTGGTAGGGGTCGGAGGGGCTGATTGCCGAATGGCACCGGTAGCAGAAGTGCGTGGAGCACAACGTGCATGTCATGTGGTTGCAGCCCTCGCTGGGGTCAATCCATGTTGTATCGCAGCCACTCACATCTTCTGAATGCTCGCACTGCAAGTAGGACACGTCGCGGCGTTGTCGCGCACCCACTGCCGGAATTTGGCCTCGCGGTCGTGTTCACGAATGAGGGCGTGGAGGGCCTCGGTGCCCTTGACGCCCAAGCGTTTCTCCATCCTCGCACGCGACTCCTCGTCGCCATCTTGGTACTCCTTGATTACGCCCTCGATGTCGCTGAACTGACATGGCGAGTGCACGCCGTGCCACACTGCCCGGCAGACAAGGCAGAAGGTGTAGTGGCACTTTGGGCACCTGCGGCAGTTGTCCCACAAATTGCTGGCCTCGTCGGGGTCTGTGTCTTGCCTGATCTTCGTTTTTTCTGGCTTGCTTTCGGCTTCCGGGCGGCGGATGTCGAGGCGGATCACTTTGGACGGAATTTTAGGCGTTGCCTTTGGCGTCGCTGGAGTTGTCGTACTCGGCGGCACGGCTGCTTGGCATGCCTCACGCGGACAAAAGGTGTACTCGGGGTCTGAGTAAGTGCACTGCGGGGCGAATCAAGCTCACTTGAATCAACAAGCCGTTTCTCACTCAGCATCTGCCACCTGTCGGCCATCTCTTGCCCAACAACGGATGCCACTACTTCGGATCCGATGCCGTCGGCCCTCTGTTCAGCAAAAGCACCGGCAGCGTGGTCGACCTTCTCAGATGCACGCGCCTTCACACAATCGATACTCGGACAGGCGACGTTCTCGAGCGTCCCCTCCGTAATAGCAAGATTCCAAAAGGAGCTCAGGCAAGAGTAGCAACTGATGTGAGTGACAGCCCTGCGGGACTAGAAAACGTACAAAATGCACCCGCACTTCGGCAGCTGCACGCTCTTTTTACCCTTGCGGTTCTCGAAGCAGATAGCGCAGGAGAAAGCCGTCTCCTCAAAGTCTGCTCGGGCGACGGCGGCATCGTGCTTCTTCAGGAGAAGGTGGAAGGTGGACGGCGGCAAACGGGGCGGGGTTGACAGTCTGGCTGTCAGCATGGCTGTGCAGAGCTACGTGTTGACTCACACCAAGGCTTGGTCAGCGAGGAGGCCCACCTCAATGAGAAACTCGCCGCTCGCAAGCCACTCCCACCAGCTCCACAGCACGCCGACGCACTCGCCGCCAACTGCCTCATCCGCCCAGAACTTGCCCAAACGCTCTTGTGCGCATGTGAGGACCCGGCGACTCAGCCATGCTCCCGAGGCTGCTGGCAGTGGAGCGCGGAGGCTCACCACACGCGGCGGCTCGCTAGTGGGATAGGCGGAGGGAAGTTCAAGACGCGCCAACAATGGTGGCAGGCGGGTCAGAAGCAGATCGGCTGATGGTGGTGGAGAGGAGTGCGGCGTCCGCGGTGTTGTAAGCCGCGTTGGCGTAGGATGGGCAAGGGTGATTGGAACGCAGATGTCCAGTACGTATCCCGTGTCGCGGCGATTGGTTTCGATAAGGCCTGGGTAGATGGACTAAGGTCAGCTTGGTCATGTCGTGGGGATCCTTCTCACCTCCAGGGTGGTGAGCTCGTCCTCCTGCAGAGCGATGGCGTCCATTAGAGGGAGAGGGAAAGAAGTGGCGCAATGCACAAGATGAGATAGTCGGGCCTCGAGGTGTGAGTACAAGTTATCGACAAATGAACGGGAAGAGCAAGCGAGTCGAGAGAGAATGTTGGAGCAGAGTTGAGTCGGGGGCGAGTTCGAGTTGGGTGGCGATTGAGGGGAACAAGCCAGATCTAGTCATCTGTCTCGTACCCCGTGGGGAAGAGGCTGTTGCAGCTCATTCCGCTCACCGCCATCTCATCGCCGGTGCCACGATGAGGATGCTACATCATGCATCAAGGCAAAGCATAATACTGAGAGCGCCCACATTGTCGTCCTGGTTGCAGCGCGTGCGTGAGATTCATTCGATATCTATCTCCAATTGCTATCAAGACATATGTCCTGGAATGTCTCGGCGACCTCGCCGCGCGTCCCCCCGTGTCATCGAGGTGGTCCCCGAGGCTATATATCATCACCCACAAACCCATCCACTCCTCCCACATCTTACAGCGTTCCCACTCATCATTTCCCCATGTCCGCCTGCCTCCTTCCTCCCGACAGCGGAGCCCTGCCATATCGCGGCGTGATGCTCGACGTATGTCGTCACTTCCTGTCGATGTCCGAGGTTCGGCGCATGGTCGAAGCGCTCGCCCTGCTCAAAATGAACGTACTGCATCTGCACCTCAGCGACGACCAAGGGTGGCGCTTCGAGTCGCTCAAGTGGCCCAAGCTTACGACGCACGCCTCTACGCGCCCCAAGACCGTCGTGGGCCGCCCGGCAAACTACAGCAACCACGACCTGCACCCAGAGAACTACCTGAACCAGTACGATGACAAGGTGCACAGCGGATTCTACTCGCAGAACGAGCTGCGCGAGCTCGTCGCCTTCGCCAAGAGCAAGGGTATCACGGTCGTCCCCGAGATCGATATGCCAGGCCACATGCGTGCCGCTCGCGCCGCATATCCTGAGCTCGGGTACAACGGTGTGCAGCAGGAAGTCGCTTGCAGCTGGGGCATCTTTCCCGAGGTGCTGCGCGTGGATGAGCCCGGTATCCAGTTCGCCAAAGACATCCTCGGCGAGATCTGCGACGTATTCGACTCGCCATACATCCACATCGGCGGCGACGAGTGCCCCAAGGCCGAGTGGGCAGCGGCCGATACCGCCCGCAAGCAGGTGGAGCAGATGGATCTCGACCCCGACCACCTCGATAGCTACCATAAGCTGCAGGCGTGGTTCACGGGCGAGATGGCCGCCTTCCTGGCGTCCAAGGGGCGCAAGCTGTTGGGCTGGGACGAGATCCTCGACGGCGGCGCGCCGGACGGTGTCGTCGTCATGGCTTGGCGCGACTGGACGCACGCCGCGGAGCGAGCCACCAAAGCGGGCATCCCCGTGGTCCAGGCTCCCAGCCTGCTGTACTTTGACTACGCGCAGGGCCCAGAGAAGGACGAGCCGCTAGCGATCGGACCCGGCGCGACGCTCGAGCAGGTCTACGCCTTCGACCCGTTCAAGGGCGTCCCTGAGGAGCGTCGTGATCTCGTGCTCGGCACCCAGGCGCAGCTGTGGTCCGAGTACATCCCGACCCCGGAACATCTATGGTATATGGCTTTCCCGCGCCTCATTGCGCTGGCGGACGTCGCGTATCACGGAGAGAAGCGCGACAGCTACGAGGATTTCCTAAAGAAGCTGCCGGCGCGCGTGGAGGGGCTGAAGAAGCTGGGCATCGAGGGACACCCGCTGCCGTAGATTGCATTCATCGTGTGTTGCTGTGACGGCGTGGCTGGAGCGGGGAGTGCGTATGAGTGAATCCGTCGGATGTGCTGAAACGCGTTGGGGTATCTGGATCCGGTCGGTTGCTGCATACCACAAGCTTGACTCAATTATATTGCTGATTTCTGACTCGATCACCGTCATGCCTCTTAAGCTCAGAGTCACTCATCCGTATCCATCATGCCAAACATGCCCTCGTCCACCGCTTTGATTCACTACGCCGCCCGCGCGGGCGACCACAACGACCGCGCGATGGCGGCAACGCCGTACCTCGCCGCCGCGCTCGCCGCCCATCTCGGTGTCGCGCCGACTACTGTCGGCTCGCCATCTCCCAGCGATCCCTCGGGGTGGGACGCCGAGCTGGCCTTCGCTCTTCCGGCCTTCAAGGAGCTCGCCACTGCCCTGGACCGTGCGCTTGACGCAAAGCGGTACCCAGTGACGGCGTGCTCGCGCTGCGCGCCTGCCATCGCCACGCTCCCTGTCATCGCGCGTTACCACCCCGATGTGCTAGCAGTCTGGTTCGACGCGCACGCCGACCTAAACACGCCGGAAAACAGTGAAACCGCCTATCTCGGCGGTATGGCGCTTAGCGGCCCACTTGGAATGTGGGACTCGGGTCTCGGTGCCGGCCTCAAGTCTGCGGTCCTCGTCGGAGCGCGGGATATCGATGCAACAGAGACTCCAGTGATCGACGGCGAGCGCATCCGCCTCATTGCGCCCGGAGCCAACCTCGTCGAGGACCTCAAAAAGGCCGTGGCGGGCCACAAGGTCTACGTCCACCTCGACTGTGACGTGCTCAGCCCTGGTCAAATGCCTACAGACTACAAGGTTCCCGATGGGCTCAGCCTGGAGCAGCTCGGCGCGGCCATCGCTGCCATCGCGCAGGTGGCTGAGGTTGTCGGTGTTGAGATAGGAGAGCTGGAGACTGGAGAGACTGAAGAGGAAACGAAGGCCAAAGCGAAGAAGCTGGTGGAAACGGTGTCTCCTTTGCTCGTAGCGCAATACGGCCAGCAGGCCCAATGATGGAATTGAATGTGACACGGTGCACATAGAAGCAGCATGGAAACTGCCATATTTCCTGAATAACACGCCATCTCTCTTGGCCCGAGTCCAATTCACATCGACTCCAGCAGCCGTCTTTAGAATGTGGATTATTCAGCGCAACTGCCAGGAAATGGTCGATCGGCCACCTCTGACATGATCGATCGGTAATCTCAAAGTGACCGGCATTCCCCACAGCCAATAGGCACAGGCTTGCTTCGGTTACATCCCCACGCATTCTTGCCGGTGCGGGACCGCGTCTCAGCTACATCCATCCGCTCCTCTGATTCTTACCGACTTTTCTGTCTCGATACTACTACTAAACGCAGGCATCTTCAGCTTCTGCATCGACTACCTCTATCCCCCCACTCTTACCCAAGCTGGGCTCACGAGACTCCCCCACTCTCCCACATCTACGCTCCCTTTCCACACTCTCGCTCTCTCGACATGACCATTTACACCTCGGATGTCGCTCTCCCTGAGCTGCCACGCATTGACGTGTTCCGCTATCTCTTTCCGCAGGAGGCAGGCGATAGCCCCATCCCGCGGGAGGCGCGCAACCCCAACCACGTCTCGTACATCTGTGGCATGACCGGACGACAGCTGAAGCGCGGTGAGCTCGAGGAGAGCGCCAAACGTCTGGCCTGTGGTTTCAAGAAGCGTGACATTGTGCGCGGCGACACGGCGCTACTTCTCGGCCCCAACAGTCTTGACTGGATCATCGCCGCCTGGGGTATGCAGGCGGCTGGCGTGACTGTGTCGCCAGCCAACGTCGCGTATGGGCCGCAGGAGCTCGCACACCAGTTCAACGATTCGGGCAGCAAGGCCATCCTGATCGCTCCCATGCTTCTTCCTGTTCTCGAGAAGGCACGCCCGCTCTTCAAGAACGGCCTCAAGGACGAGCACATCATTCTTCTTAGCGGCACGGGCAACTTCCGCTCCATCTATGAGATCATGGACTGCCCCCGCCGCCCAGAACAGTTTGACGGTGCCGAGGCCGACGCCACAGCCTGGCTGTGCTACTCTTCCGGCACCACCGGCCTGCCCAAGGGTGTCATGAGCTCGCACTACAACATGACCAGCCAGATCCAGTGTGTCACGCCTTGCTACCCGGACCTCCGCCCGGGCAGAGACGCCATCCTGGGTGTGTTGCCGTTCAGCCACATCTTTGGCCTCATGGCCCTCATCCACCAGCCCCTCACGACGGGCACACCCGTCGTTGTCTTCCCCCGCTTTGACGAGATTGCCGTTCTTGAGGGCATCCAGAAGGTGAGCCTAATTCGGAGCTGCCGCTGATCCCCAGTACAAGATCACATACGGCATTGCCGTCCCACCGATCCTCCTCGTACTTGTGCACTCGCAGAACACGGCCAAGTACGACCTTACGTCGCTCAAGACAGTGCAGTCTGGCGCCGCGCCGCTGTCCGCCGAGCTCGCCATGGCGTTCGAGACCAAGTTCCCCCACTGCAGGATCGCGCAGGGATGGGGCCTCACTGAGACGTCGCCTACCATCACATACTGCAAGTCCGAGGACGCGGCGCTGCCGGACAAGAACGGCAACAACCGCAAGGGTTCCGTCGGGCGTCTCATCCCCTCGTACGAGCTGCGTCTGGTGGGCGACGACGGCAAGGACGTGCCTGAGGGTGAGCGTGGCGAGCTGTGGGTCGCAGGCCCTTCCGTTATGAAGGGCTACCACAATAACCCGGAGGCGACCGCCAAGACGATGGAGGGCAAGTGGTTCAAGACGGGCGACGTTGGCGTGCGCGACGACGAGGGGTGGTACTGGATCGTCGACCGTGTCAAGGAGCTCATCAAGTACAAGGGCTTCCAGGTGCCGCCGGCCGAGCTAGAGGCACTGCTCCTCACGCACCCCCAGCTCATGGACGCGGGTGTGGTGGGCGTGTACGACGAGTCGCAGGCGACCGAGCTGCCGCGTGCGTACGTCGTCGCCAAGCCTGGGGTCATCAAGAATGAGAAGGATAAGGTGCGCCTGCAGAAGGAGGTCGCCGAGTGGGTGCGCGAGCGTGTCGCGCAGCACAAGCGTCTCCGTGGGGGCGTCGTGATTCTCGACGCCATCCCCAAGTCGCCCTCCGGCAAGATCCTCCGCAAGGACCTCCGTGTGCAGGCGCAGAAGGAGCTCGAGGCGGAGAAGAGCAAGGCGAAGCTGTGAGCAGCGCGATTTTGTTAGAGTATTAGTTATTTGCATCTCATCTTGGTTCCGGGCAAGCAAGCGAGGCTGTTGCATTAAGTCAATATCATTCCGCGCTGCGCCAGGTTAGGCTCAAGATAAGGAGCATGTGGGCACAGATCCCCACATGCCCCACAGGTCACATTTTGGCTAAAAAGGTCAGATTTCGACGTCAAAAGGTCAGATCAGATAGTTTGAAATTAGTACGAACCCAACGGAAGGCAAGACGGGGCCGCTGGTTTGTGCCAGAAATAGTGAACTCGTATCCCGTGTCACTCGACGGCATCGTCATATCTCGTCGCAACAGCTCAAGTGCATGTCCGTAGGGGAAGTCCATTTGCAACTGCACCTTCTATGCCTGCGGTACTTAAGTCGAGCCGCATCCCCTCTGAGGGGCACCGACACGCGCCATGGAGAAGACATCCATTTCGCACACAGAACGACATTTCGCTCCCGAGTCAGGGCTGGTCGATAAAGACCTCTCACGGCATGAGGTTCTGCCTGTAGTTGAGGAAGTGGCGCTTGAGCGCAACTTCTCGTTCCTCTCGAGTCTGGGTCTGGCGTTCACCTTGCTGAACAGCTGGACGGCAATGTCCGGGTCGTGGGTTATCCAATGCGCGCCACGCTCATTCTAGGCTGGGCCTCGTCCTGCCATCCGGAGGAAGCATCTCGATGATCTGGGGCCTCCTGACCTCCGCAGTTGGCACGCTGCTAATGGTCCTGTCGCTGGCCGAGATCTGTCACGCCTTCCCCATGAGTGGAGGCCAGTACGACTGGGCTTGTGAGTGAGCTGGCGAGCAAGCTAACAGTAGACATTCTCGCGCCGCGGCGATACAAGGTCGGGCTGTCGTTCTTCACAGGGTGGATGGCGACGGCCGGCTGGATTGCGCTCTCCGCCACGGCTGCGAGCCTTGGAGCCTCCCTCATCACGGGCATCATCACGCTGTGGCATCCGACATACGTGGCCCAGCCGTGGCACCAGTTTCTGCTGTATGTCGGGATCGTGGCGCAGGCCTTCTTCCTCAACGTGTTCAGCGTGCGCGCGCTCCCGCACATCGACCGCCTCGCCGGCCTGTGGAGCATGTGCGGCATCGTCACAGTCGTAGTCGTATGCCTGGCCTGCGCGCGGGGCAGGTACCAGCCGCCAGGAGAAGTGTTCGCGCAGTGGACGAACGAGACGGGCTGGCCGGACGGCATGGCGTTCATCCTCGGCCTCCTGCAGTCTGTCTTCGGGCTGACGGGATTCGACGCGGCAACGCACATGATCGAAGAAATGCCCAAGCCCGCAATTAACGCACCACGCGTCATGGTCAGCGCCGTCCTCATGGGAGCCGCCACTAGCTGGGTATTCATGGTCGTGCTCCTGTTCTGCCTCAGCAGTTTTACCGAGGTCCTCGAGGCGACGGCGACTGGCCCCCTCCTCATGATCTACTACCAGGCGACGCGGAGCAAGGTGGGCGCCACGTGCCTCATCATGTTCAACCTCATGGCGTTTGTGTTCGTGCAGCAGGTGCTCATTACGATCTCGAGCCGTATGCTGCTCGCTATCGCGCGTGACCGTGGCATGGGGCACCTCTCCCGCTTCCTCGCACCTGTGCACCCGCACCTGAAAGTGCCTGTGCAGAGCATCTGCTTCTGCACGTTCTGGGTCGTTGTGTTTGGTCTAATTAGTACGTCGGCATACGACCGCGCTAATCCAGACCTTGGCTCGTCCATCGCGAGCAACGCCATCTTGTCATCTTCGGTTGTGCTTCTCCAAATTTCGTACTTTGTTCCCAGTGCGTGCCAAACAAGGTCGGCAACTAACGGCAGTCCTGTTAATTTTCATCCGGGGACAGCCTGCGCTCGAGGGGTACAACCACAGTGCACGCTGGTCCTTGGGCAAGCTTCGCCGTGAGTGCTTTCCGGAGCCGTGCTTACAGCAGGTCCCATCGCCCTTGGTGCGCTCATCTTCCTCTTTGTCACGTCAATCACTTTCATGTTCCCGCCAGCCATCCCGGTGCCGACGGGAAGCAAGATGAACTGGGTTGTGCTCGTAGTCGGCATCGTGTGGATCATGTGCGCCGCGACTTGGTTCATTGACGCACGAAAGATGTTTGAGGGTCCTAGCGAGTTGGAAGAGCGTCTGGCAATCTCCCACTCTTCGTAGCTATCCTCTCTTCGGGGAAAGTAGATGAACAAGCGTGCATTTCTTCTGACTCTCGTCCCCGTTCAAATCCCATCGGCATCCTTTACCTCTTGTGGCTTGTAGACCAGCTCCTTCTTGACTGTAGTCTTCCTGTCCTTCTTCTTCCAGTCACCCACCTCAACCCACTCCCAGTCCTCGCCGCCTTGCTCGCGGTCGATGATCTTCTTCCACTCGAGGTCGTGAGCGAGGATGACACACACATTGTCTTCCTCTTCCATGCGCCCCATGCGGGCCATGTTGAGGTATGCTGCCGGGAGGTCGTAGTGGATAGCAAGGAGGCCGCCGCGCTTCTGTTCCTGCGGCGAGAGGCCGTTGGCGGCGGGGTACAGCCCCGCGCGGAAGGACGGGTGCGCACACCCCCCACAGCACGAGTACAGGCCACGAACGTGCGCCGAGTCGCCGGCGAGCAGCATGTACGTGTCGGGCTTAGTTGACGTCCGCACAAGAGCGGCGATGTGGCCCACCATGTGACCGTATGCGTTGAGGATGTAGAGTGAGCCGTCGCCAAAGTAGTCAATGGCCTCTGGGAAAGCGCCGCAGCGGACCCACGGCGACTTGTCGCTCAGTTCTTCGACCTCGCGCTCGCCGCCAAACGGCAGATCCGAGTCCAACACAGACGAGTCTGCGTAGCTCGGGTAGCCAGGAAGTGCGGCCTTGCCCGTGTTCGGCCCCACGATGAGCTTGGTCGAGGTTGGGAACTGGCTAATGTCGCCGATGTGGTCGAAGTGCACATGGCTGAGGATGACGGCCTCAATCGTCTTGGCGTCTACGCCATGGTCTGCGAAGATCTCGGGCATCGTCGCGCGCGGCCACGTGATAGGGACGTCCTTAATAATATTCTGGGTGAACGGCGAGAAATCCTCAAGCTTGGGCTTGAGGCCGAGGTCGAATGCGACGCGCCGCCCGTTCCCTACATGCTTCTGTCAGCAATGTCATACCAGTTACTCACCTCCAGCACAAACGTGTACACGGGTAGCGTGATCTGGGCGTCCGTGTCGCTCGTGCGCAAGAAGAGGCTCAGACCCATCGTCAGGTCTGAGTTCTTGACCAGGTGCACCCTGCAATACGCATCATCGCTGGGCGCCTGCTTCAGTGGCTCAAACTCAAGCGTCTTGGTGTCGGGCACCTGGATCGCGCGGTAGTTGTGCTTGTCCTCGTACTCGTCCAGATACTTGATGTTGGTAGGCATGGTCACAGGTGGTGGGAACGAGGCGGACCTGTCCTTGATATATCTGCATCTTGTAGCTGCAGCTGTCAGTGGCCCGCATGGTCCATGTCCACGGCCACATAGCCATGGAGTCATTACTCGCCCACCCGAATGCCGACGATACCATGATTCGCCGGCGCAACGCTGCACGTGATGCTCATGATCAGCATTGCGCTAGCGCTGCCGGGACTGCCGATCCCTGCATACCGCGTTAGCGCGCGAGCGCGAGAGCGAACACGGCACGGGTCTCTGTTCCGGTGCACGGCATGCGCGGCGACGAACTGAAATCAGTCACATGCCCACCAAGCGCAACACCGGCGGCGGCGGCACATCGCGGCCCTCGGCAACCTCGGCCTCTTACCGTGAGCCAGCGATGGGACATTGCGGCCTGTCGCCGCCGCCAGCTCGGCGCCCGTGGTGGAAGGCGTGATACATACAGGGTGCCGAGGCACGCCGTGGGCATGAAAGGCTGGCACGCAGTCGGCGTTACAGTTCAAGCTACGGAAAAGGCGCATACAAACGGGTATTCGCTTACGTCACTTTCGCAGCTTGCTGACATTATCAGCAACGCCGGTGTAGTAGGCAGGCGTCCACGCGGCTGCCGAACTGAGCATGGTTGTATGCCCTCAGATCGCCTCTGATCCGTTGGGACGTTTTGACTACCGGAGCCAAGTCGCGAAATAGTTGCAAAAGGCATATGGGCATCATGTGATCGCTATTTACGATCTGATTTCCGGTGGACCACCTCAATTGCGTGCCGCGGGCGGTATTCAGGCGGGGACTTGTCTGGCGCACAGATTGCGACGCGCCGCTTGACAAGTACCCCCGAAACTTTGGCTGACGAGATTCTGTGAGCCGACTACGCCCCGCACTAGGAATGTTCTCGGCTCTCAGCACTGACGTCGACAGGGTAACCTAGACTACTAACCTGTTCCCATCGCTTGCTCCTCTTCTGACGTCAGGAGTGATGAATCATATATCAAGACACTGCAGAGTCAAGACATCGCTTCTCCATCTCTCCGCATCAATCATAATCATGGCTCCACCGAAGCGCGCTCTCATCGCCGTCACATCCGCCCACGCCCCGCTGTACCCCGATGGCAAGGAGACAGGTCTCTTCATCACCGAGGCACTGCACCCCTTCGAGGTCTTCCGGAAGGCGGGTTTCGAGGTTGACCTCGCCTCCGAGACGGGCTCCTACTCCCCCGACTGGCTGAGCATGACCGACGACTGGCTCAAGCCCGAGGAGCGCAAGGTGTACGAGGACAAGAACTCCGAGTTCCGCCGCAAGCTCGACAACCTTCACAAGCCTACGGACCTCAACCCCGCCGACTACGGCATCTTCTTCGCGTCCGCCGGCCACGCGAGCCTTATCGACTACCCCGAGGCCAATGGACTGCAGAGCTTTGCGTCAGCGCTGTGGGAGGACGGTGGCATCGTCTCAGCCGTGTGCCATGGTGGCGCGATCTTCACTGGTGTCGTCGACGGTCATGGCGTGCCGATCATCAAGGGGCGTAAGGTCACCGGCTTCACGACCAAGGGCGAGGAGGAGGAGGGTGTGCTCGACACCATCAAGAGCTGGAACCGGCCAACTATCGAGGCGTCGGCGGCCGACCTCGGTGCCCACTACGTCTCGCCGCCTGGGCCTTGGGACTCGTTTACCCAGACCGACGGCAGGCTCGTCACGGGTGCTAACCCCGCTAGCGCAACCGCCACGGCGGAGGCCGCCGTTGAGGCGTTCAACAAGCTGCAGTAGTTCCCCACTGTAAAATCAATGTATAGTATTGCCCGTGTTGTCAGTCCTCTCCTCCCTGGGATAGGATTACGGATGATTATCGCAGTGAAAAAGATAGGCGTGAAGGATGCGCCAGCAGCCCAGGTGTCCGACGTTTCTTCATCGTCAATAACCTACATCTTCTCCTTCCGAGCTCTAGTGATCTCTACGCCTGATGGATGGCCGTACTCTCTCCTTCAACTCAAGGCCGGTGGCTGAGCACAGCCGGGTCACACACTCCTCGTTCCCAGCATTTCTCCCACTGAATCGGCTTGTAACCCGGGTTGCGGCCGCCATTGGCCGCCCGTACAGCGTGGTACTCGGCCTCCCAGTCATGTTCAATAACCTCCTTGACGCGTGCGAACACTGCCTTTGTGGTCATGTCGGGCGGGATACTGTTCGTCAGCTTCGCATAATTGCGACTCACAATGGCTCGATCGGCGTGTTGACAGCCTTGGTCAGCTGCTCGACGAGATCTTGTGGGTCGCTGCCGTCATATGAGTAGACGTACGGCGTGTTGACAGCCTTGGTCAGCTGCTCGACGAGATCTTGTGGGTCGCTGCCGTCATATGAGTAGACGTACGGCGTGCCAAGCGCCTGCAGTGGGCCATGCTGGAACCATGTCCTGCCGTCAGCCCCCCCCCAGCTCGAACTCACGGCTCAAACATCTCCCACCCGCTAGCAGAGTGATTGCCGTTCTTGGGCAGCACGACGGGCACACCGGCACACAGCGCCTCGTAGGGGCTAGGCGAGATGCTTGGCATCCCAATGCCTAGCATAGCCTTCGCGCTTCCCGCTTTGCGGCGGTACTCGGCGGGCGCCTGCCACCCGAGCGACACCATGCCCTCTGGGAAAGGCATCTTGGGATCAGGCTTGGCGGTAAGCCAAAAATCGACGCCCTCCCGCTTCATCGCGCGCACAATGTCGTCCCATGCTGGATGGATGCCCTTGATGATCCCGCCACGGAGGTACGCTGCCGTTAGCTGAGTCTAGTCGGGAGAGTAGGAGACTTACGAGCATGCTTCCCCAGGATCAGGATGCCGTCCTCTCGCTCGTGAAGGGGCACCACTGGCGTCTGCAGACACGCCTGCTCGATTGTCATGGGTATATCCGTGTGGCCCGGATACGCAAAGGGACTGGAATCAGTGGTGGGCTGAAACGCGACGCACACAATCTGCCACTTGGTGCCCAAGACATGGTGCGACCACTCTTCGTGCCCGTCGTCGCCGTTAATGCCCCAGTGCTTCGCGGTATCAAGAAAGATGGCGTTGTACTTGTTTGGCCTTGCGCCCCACTACGTGTCAGTGTATCAAAGTGATGCACGCACGAAGCTAAGTCCAAAGATGCGCCATGCGGGCAGCACGCCCCGCAGTGCCGCCGGCGGCTCCTCGATGGCGTGTGTTGCTGGACGCACGTAGTCCTCGGGACGGACGCAGTGGGGGTTGTGAAAGCAGCGGAAGGCGTGGTTCGCGTCCGTGAAGTACATGTGGCTGGTGTCAGCCGAGGTTTCAGCGAGGGTGGGACTCACATTGACTTGTCGAGCAGACGGGTGTAGTTCCATGTCCTATTCTCGTCTTTGTTGAAGATGAGCATCTCGTAACCCATCTGCCGGATCCCTTCGACCTGGTATCAGCGCACGTATGGCGGCATGCAACGCACGAGCGACGACACCCAGACCTCCTCGCCGTGCGCAACGCCAGCCTTATGCTCCGGATTGTAGATGAACTCATAGTCGGACACGATGAGGGGCCGCTCGGGGCACGCAGTGACGCCGAGGGCGCAGTTCGTGATGCGGTTAATAGCGCGCAGCTGGCCCACGTCTTTGAGCGCCGCATATCTGGTGTTAACGCAGCCGGACAGGCTTATTCACTCAGGCGTGGCGGTGAATTGCGCAATCTGGCGAAACTGCTGCGCGCGGAAGCACTCCGGTGGATCGAGTTCTTCAGCGGCATGTGGGTCCCATCCTTTGCATGAGTCAGTCTTGAAGATGGAGGATGTGGTGACCGAGACGTTGCTGACGGCTGTGGTGACGTCGTTCTGGGAGAGGAGGATGAGGGACGCGATAGCGATCAACGCGATGAACAGCAGGACCACTTTGCGCGTCTTCCACCCCGACGGCGGGGCGGCGTGCCACTGTGGGCTGGCGGGCAGCTGAAGCATTTACGGCGAGGAAGTGAAGTTGGATCAAAGTTTCGAAGCAGCGACGCATCAAAGCTGTTCGATCTGAGTCTGCTGGGTCTACTGGGCAGGCTGGGCATGCTGGCACAGCCGTGGGGCTCGAGGCACATCAATGCGCGTGAACTTTGATGTGGTCGATCCCCGTTGCGTCTGGTTCGGCACATGGGAGGCGAGGAGTGCAGCGAAGGGCGCCAGATGCGGGTGTTGTGAAGGAGTGGGCGCTTGGCGGTATGAGGATTATGACAAGTGGCAGAGTGTGGGAGTGCCACTTGTGAAACTTGAGGAGACAAAGTTGATAAGCTCAGGGAAAGGCAAGTGGGATGTTGAAACCACAGGGACGTGCTCGTTGCATACTCGTTTGATCAAGCTGATTACCACGTGCTTTCGAGTCCCCTGCTTGTGCCACATACTGTACGTACTTCAACGATGCTGAAGATCCACAGAGCGCGCAAATGGATGCACGAGAGAGATTGCGCAACTTTTGTTTCGCTCACTCCGCTCGAATCGACTGAATCGCTGGCGACTGCGTTCTCTTGTGCACAATGAATATTACGCAATGTTGAACCCAGTTACCACTAGTTGTTGACGGCATATTCAGGGGGGTACACGCCCTATGTCGGAAAGTAGAGCGCATGTGCCTCCCGGTGGTTGCGTCGCGCTGCCTCAACGTCCGAAGAGCTGGGAGGAACGCACCTGGACTTGAACTTGACCGTCAAGATCACAGCCGAGGTTAATGCTCCGGGACCGAGGGCACGATGACCGATTCAAGCATGCACGATTAAGTGCCGGCAGACCAGTTACAGGCGGGTACCTTCCAAGATTCTCCAGCTAGGGACCAGAACTTCGAATATGCTGCTTTGCATGCACCCCGTAAATCTTGCATCGGTCACAACCTCGGACCTCGTATGCATCGATCTGTGGTGTCCCACGACTTCGTGGTGGGGCGGAATTTAAGTACGCGTTCAGTCAGTGGGGCAGAAGAGGAGCTGTCCATGCCGATCATGCAGACCACTGATCTCACTGCCTCCGAGCGCTTTGGGTGCTTTGGTCAGAGAACGCTTGCGACTCTCTCCATTTCACTCCAACTACATCATACCGTGACCTTCAGAACTCTCTCTCGCCACTTCCTCTTCCTTCTCCCATATCACGAGCCGGCTTTCTCGCGCTTGCAGTGCTTGCAGCGCCACTTATTGAAGCGTGCGGGCACCATGGTGCAAAATCCTGCATGAGCTATCGCGACTGGGCACTCACCGCCAGCGTTGCTTCCGTTCTGTCCGCCCGTGCACAACGGATGCATCTCGGGGTCGGGAGAACTGAAGCAATTGCCCATCGTTGCGGTGGGGCGTGCTCGTGCGCGAATGAGTGGGTCGACGACTGATCTGGCTTGTACGGGGCGACGACGCGTGTCGAGATTCCGGTGAACTCTTTGTGTTGAAGAAAAGAAGAGAGGAAAGATGACAGACACGATGTAACCCACCCCACTAAGTGAGATGGGAGACGCAGCGTCGAGGAAGGGCGCATAGCAATAGCCGCGACGAACTCCGCAATAGTTCAAATGAGGCGGTTGGTGGCACGAGCAGAAGTGACGCACAACACGACGGCGGGGAAGAATGCGGGATGAGCATGTGTGTGGCGATTGCAGAGGGTCCATCGATGGTCGCTTCACGCCAATCACTGAGTGCCCTATTCCGAGATGTATGAGCGAGTGTTGTGCGCAACGCCGCCCTGGGACGCGCCGAGACAGTCCTCCTGATCCGCGACATTCCCCCGCCTCCCAAAACATGCTCAACGAGCCCATCACACATACCGCAAGGCGTTACATGATATTCATGCGTCAACTCGTCCGCTGCAACTCTCATTCATACATCCATCCTCAAAACACGCGGCGGCAATACTTGCACACATATCCCCAGTCGGTGGTCTGATATACACAGAATTCTACATTAGCGCGACCCTAGACCCATGCTTACCGCTTCGGTTGGTTCCATTGTTGTCTCCCGGACATAGTCCGACGGGCTCAAAGGTCGGGTGGCTGAGGCAGCTTCCCATGATGTGAAGCAGGAGAGGGTGTCGAGTATGGCAGGTGGTCCCAAAAGATGGCTGGGCGGCGGGAGTGAGGGAAGATATACGGTTCGCTAGCTGTGGTGGGACATGACTGTTGATCGGTGGCGGATAGTGTGATGGTAATGCGTGGTGAAATCCGACGAAACCGGCATAATTCCACCAAAAGAAGATGAGACTTCCCCGCCCCACACTTCGTCGCGTTTAACAAACTCCATCTTGCAGAACTCAACACACACACGTAACACAGCCGATCATGCTTGTATGACTCCAGCGGCAGATTTCGGACAAGACAACTCGCATCACCGACGCCAGCCGTCTGCAGACACCACCCCTTTATCTTCCTACTGACACCGTGCTATGGAGCCGTACACAATCCCCGTTTACCGCCGAAGCCAGCTCAAGCGACTGCCCCCGCTCTGGGGGCAGTACGGGCAGAGATGGTCGTGGTCACGCATGCCGCCCAACACGCAGGTAGAATTTGGATTCAGTGGGCAAGAGAGCAGCTTACAGATTGCGGCTGCCGTCGTTCGTGAGTCGTAGCAAGTTGTGGCCAGAAATGAGTGGGGAGCTCTCTGCCGAGTTATCGTGGATGGGGGAACTGATGCAGCAACCCATGGTAGCTTTGTGGGGGTGAAGAGAATGATATGAGCGCATTTATGTTGCGGCAGGAGTGGATTTGGGATACTGACGGCAATTGAGGGTTTACATTGCACACACGGATCATTACCGGGGAATCAGCTATGTGGTGAATCAGCTATGTGGTGGTTTCTGACACCTTGAATTCTAAGGAGGAAGTTTGAATGACGAAGTTGTGGCGCGAGAAATTACTCGCCAATAAGCGCTCACAACATCAAGAGGGAATTGGACATCGCTTTTAGAGAAGCAGTGAACCGAGAAGAAGTGGCAGTTAATGCTCCGAGGTGATACGAGCAAAGTTTGCACGACCGAGAGGCTCCATGCCCATCGTAGTCGGACCTACGGGGCATCAACCACACTCCATCCTCCAATTCCGACACATCAAATCATACGAGCAACGAAGCTACAATACACCTTTTGCTACTAGTACGTCTTCTCACAGTAGATGCAGTACCAGACACCATTGTGCATGCGGATAGCGGAACAGGTTCCTGGTATCAGCATAACGACACGACTCTCAGCACTCGCCACCGCGATTGGATCCGCCGGTCGCGCGGCCGTTGCACTGGCGCGTCGGGGGCTTTGTGCTGGGACAGCTGTTACAAAAGCAGTTGATGGTGCTACAGCCGCAGTGGACACAGTTCGCAGCGAAGACCGAGAGGCAATTGCCCATGTTTGAGATTGTGGGAGGCTGTTGGGGGTTGCAGAGTCAGGCGTGGAGGGAGGATTTATGGTCTCTAGTGGTGGCAGTATGTCACAGCATTGCCAAAACAACGCTGGAAAAAAATAGGAAATTGGTACAAGCCGATGGGGTTGAAACTAGCACCATGCCGATCTGAAAGACTCGTCACGTTCTCTCGTCACTTCTCCCGCTTAGTTCATCGTTCCTATCTCCGCACTTTGTCACCGCTCTTCGACTCCCGTCTCAATACGCATCCTGGATGGAGACTGTCGCTGCGTCCGGCCCATCTCGCCCCACAACGCCCAAGCAGAACGCACACTGCCAGTTCCCATCGAGCTGAGCGGTGAACAAGCAGCATTCTGCGTCAGCTATCCGCTTGGAGGAGACCCACCGCCCTTATTATAACCTGTCTTCTCGTTTCCCGTGCAAGTGCGGTCAGGGGTGGGGATCTCGCCGGGCGAGACCATGGTTGTAAAGCAATTTCCCATGTTTAAAGTGTGGTTCTTGCACCCGCTCAATAGGCTTACTTTATGTAGAGACGGTAGTGGCAACTTGCCGGATAGTTGTGTCCGCTGTATGGAGCACTCCACCATAACAATTGCATAACGTAGCGCCAAGAGCGCCCGGATGAGCCACAGCCACAGCCCGTATCAGTAGAAACCCGCCTATCTGGTCACTTATCGGCATCTACGTGACGGTCCAGTGCCAGCCCCTACCCGGGACCCGCGAAGGTGCCACAATGAGTCTCCTCTCTCTGTGGCCAACTCCCCCGCCTGTAAACCTTGTCACACCTCCCGCAGCGCCATTCGATTCTGCCATCGCCTACCTCGTAGTGGAGCACGAAATGAACTGATGTAAGTTTGGGGGTGTCTTGGACGGACAATTGTTCTCGCTGGGCATGTAAGAAAAGTGATCCGTACAAAGATAGGACTGGGCGGCGAGATCCCGGCTCCGGCTGTGGCACTGGCCCATGGACTTGACGAAGTCGTGCAGATGAGGAAGCTAAGCTATAGAGGTGAGCAAAGAGGCTTGCTGGGCGAGTGACCAGGAGAATAAATAAATGAGTGAACTCGGTTGGCAGTGCAGTTGGCTAAGTACCTTCGAGCTGGGAGACATAGTACTGGAGGGTATCAGCCCACTGTGGCTGACGCAGGCTGGTATACTGCTCAGATTCTTTCGGGGCCTGTGCTCCGGATGTAGGTGTTTCATGTCTTCTTTTCATCCGCGTTACACTTTCAGGTGGTCCAGACGTGGCGAATGAGCCCCTGCAACGACTGGTGTAACATCTGAGGGGCATCTCTTCTGCTTTTCCGCCGTTTGCAGCTGAAGTAAGTCGTATATGGCAAGTTTGTCATGCTACCATAGCAAGCGTTAACGCTCTGAGGATGACCTCACCTTGATGTCGCATACTGGGTCACAAGGCCAAGTCATGAGCGGTTAACCGGAGTGGGGCGCTCCACAACGCGGCTCCTTGATGCATCTTGTAGCGGCAGAATCGGGTGGGAAGTTCACCAAGCAACTGAAGATTGCTATGTGAGATCAGAGAGTCATAAAGAGGAAGTTTGTATCTTTGGACAGGGGTTGGCGCGATGGGTCTTGGAACCATTTCGGAGAGCATTGCAACGTGAGCGTGTTTCACCACATCACACACCCCTTCTACTTCCGCCAAGATAGGAGGCGTTCGGCGAGGTGGTGCGCGTTTGGCGTCCAAACCGTATATTGGGCAGCTGACACAGAGCCTCGCAGGTGAGACGTATGGGCTTCCTTCGAAGCGCATGCCTTTCTGGGGATCCCATTGCAGAGGAAGTCGTCGGTGGCCCGCGTCTCTCTCTACCCACGAAGGGCCAGCCCGACAGCCTCTCTGACATGAGGCGATAGGCATTCATTCATACCCTTTCCTATGTCGTACTCTATCCCTAGCCGTTAATGTGGCACTGCTCCCACTGGACGCGCCAAAAACAACGACAACAAGATGGCGACCACTCCTCCTGTTCCTAGCCCAGCCTCTGAGCCCAGCACTCAGCTCTGTATAGCCTTTCCTGTAGCTGCGCGCTGTGACGGTGTTGAACTATCAGTCGACGGTGTGTCGTCAGTGTGTAGTAGTGAATTGTCCAATCGGTCATCCTTCAATATACGCCCGTCTCATTCTCGAGGCCCAAGTAACATGCGGGGTGCTGCCTCTCTGTACCAGTCGATTTTATTCAACCCACATTTCCTCCCGCTCGCAACCGATCGCTGAGAAGACCGTTCCATCTCACGATTCCTTCCACACCATGTATTCATGGCGTTGCAGGTGATGCCTTCGGCTTATATTCTTAGCCAAGACATGACTCGAGGTGGTGCAGCTTCGCGTACAAGTTGTGATTGCTCACCCCTTGGGCCCACGTCCTCCGTCTGAACTGTTGCAGCACGTTATCTGTAACCTTCACTGCGCTATTCATTGAGGACAAGCAGCTCCTATACCCCAGGCAGGAAAAGTTCGGTAAAGCGAGTGCAACAGTGGGGCCCGCCCGAAGGTTCCGAGGAGCGAAGTGGGAAGCACACATCACACCTCGCAGTCGATAGCCTTTAGCTTCGCACCAGTCCGCACACACTCGCATCGCCGCGCACATCGCCTAAAGCAGATTCCGTACGAGTCACATCCTGTTGTTGCAAGCTGGCGCCTACGTAATCCACAATAAGAGCAAACGAAGTGTCTGTAAACGGGCGTGTAATCGTGGAAGTCTACTGTTAACCCACGTCGTCGTACCACAATCAACACAGAACTTACAACCACGGTTGCGGCCCGTGGAGTCTCCTGGGCATGTCATTAGGAGGCTCCTTTAGGTCGAGTGTATGAACTGAATGAAGAAGAGGAGAATGAAGAGGTGAAGCGAGCAGGGTATATGTGAGAAGACAGCCGTTGACTACTCGGCATGAAGAAGCCATGGCTCAGGATCGGCATAGTGGTTCTTCAAAGCAGACGAGCGTTGGGTGATACAGTCCCATATGTGCACTGTTGAACACCCGGGATGTGTGAGAACATTATTCTTCTGAAGTGCGAGAACTGGCCTGCATACGCAGGGTACGGACCTCATTCGGTCGCCCTGGCACCACGCCGCGAAAGTCCGCGCAGCTAACGAGTGTGTGTGAAATCTCAGCTAAGCTGAGTGCTCTTATGAACACACCCACCACCCGCATCCCTTTCGGCGCGCTCTCTCACACAATCCCATGATGCTCTTGCTCCCCACCCACGGGAGCTTATCCGTCGGCCTGATGGTGTTGCATCATGGCACTAAGGGACATGGATCACGGGCGCTACAAAGCAGTCTTCCATTTATCCCTGCTGAGCAGGGTAAATGCGGGGAGGGGGAACGTAGCGAGTCTTACAGATTTTGCAGCGATAAGCGGTCTCGCTCCTTATGTAGGCCCAGAAGTGACGACCTAGATCAGCATCATGCTACAGCAGACACATACCCCCGACAAGGCGTCCGAGCGCGTCGCCGGGGCAGACGTTCGAGGTAGGCTTGGGCATGAGAATCTGGTGTGAGGCTTGGGGTGCTGTAGGAGTGTAGGAGGGGAGGTTGGTGGTGGGGATGGGATCTGCGGATGGTTGAAGTCGCGAGGATCATGGCTTTTATATCACTGGTGGCGAGGGGGATTGCTGTGTCGATGCTTTGGTGCTAGGCTTCTACCGTGTCCCTGTCGAAGTCGACGCTGGGACGTGATCGCTGTGCAGGTGGATGGTGGTTAGCACCCCCGCACATACCGCGCGTTCAATACAGGTTTCCGTGATGTATGGCTCGAATACGCAATAGACTTGCTGCGGCGTGAGAAGCAGGCGGACTGTATGGAGCGATTCGCACTGACCAGTGTATCCCGCAGAGGGAGCGAATGCACTGCAGCAAGCCTTCTGCTCCCACACACTCATCACACAACGCTCGCCACCCACAAACTCACGAGACCAACGGTCTCATCGACACGGTGCGGCACTAACCAACTTTGGCTGTGCCCCACGCTCTCACGCGCTTGCACACCCAATTCTTCCTATCCCACCTACCCACTAGCCTCCTAACCAAGTGTAGGGGAGCACGCGACTACCGCACCACCTAAACCAATCCTTATCCGTCACAAGCCCCCTCAGCCGTCACGTTTTCGCCCCGCGTTGACGCGGGAATCGCGCAGCAGCCTTTCCGCCTCTTCCTAGCATCGCCTCTTCCGGCTCTCACCCCAGCAGGCCAGCGCTCTCGCCCAGACCAAGCTCTGAAGCGAGTGGGTGACCAGGTGCGACGGTCTATGCACAGATCGTTGGTTATGGCCTGAGGACACCCACCTCGCGGCATCGACGATCCAAGATTCCCGTTCCAGCATGCCGAGATTGGCAAGATAACGGGGTGCGAACGGGAATCTCGGCTGAATGCCGATGTTGCTCGCTTGTTCAAGTGCCTATGTCTGGCGTCGTCGCTGCTCGCGCCGCCTGATACTACACACGCGGGGGGGGGGGGGGGGCACCGGGGGACCACAAACAGCCGACGTAACTCCGTCTCTGCTCTTCTGTGCATGTGAGGCGAGGTCGGGTAGTTTCCGGGGAGTTGACGGCTCAATGTGCCTGCCCTCTGGCTGACATGACACGAGACAATGGGAGCGGGTGAGACGGTCAAGTCGCCGCTGGTGGTGCCTGATGATATCCGGTGTCCATCACATGGGTCCTGCTGCGCGGTGCTCTTCGGGCGGGGAACACGGATGAGCGGGTATCGTGGCTGGACAACGTCGTCCACCGCTCGGCTGTCGATGACGGCCCATACTCCCGCGCCGGCTGATGCCCACAAGCGGCCCCGACAGCCAGCACTCCGGAGCGCGCGGGGTGATAAAAGAGATGTCGCGGCCCCACGAACCCCTCATCCCTGGACTGGAGTTCTCCACCGACTCCACACCACTTGACAGCATACACAGACACGCGAGCTGGCCTCGACATGGTCTCCAAGTCGATCATCTTCTGCTTTGTCGCCGCGTTCGGCGGCTGGGTCTTCGGATAGTGAGCGCCTTGTTGACCTCGCTGACCTCAGTGATATCGGGTATATCTCGGGATGCCTCATCATGGACCCGTTCGTCGAGATGATGGGCGAGTTCAAGGACGGGGCATGGGTGCTCGAGCCGAAGCGGCAGAGCATCATCACCTCGCTCCTCTCGGCGGGCACATTCTTCGGTGCCATTCTCCAGTCGTTCACGGCCGACCGCCTCGGGCGCAAGTACAGCATCATGGCATGGGGTGCTGTCTTCACAGTCGGCACGGTAATCCAGACGGCAGCCTTCGGCTATGTCCAACTCACCGTGGGGCGGTTCTTCGCGGGCCTCGGCGTCGGTGCCCTTTCAGCCATTGTGCCGCTGTACATCGGAGAGGCGGCACCAAAGCATATTCGCGGCACCCTCCTCGTGCTGTACCAGGTGCAGATTATCTCGGGCCTCTTCCTCGCGTACATCGTCAACTTTGCGACGCACAAGATGACGAACGACGCGTCCTGGCGTATCCCAATTGGCCTGCAGCTCGCGTGGGGTCTCTTCCTTATGGCGGGCGCTGCCGTGCTTCCCGAATCGCCACGACTCCTTCTCGGCAAAGGCCGCGAGGAGGACGCCTACAAGGCTATTGCGAGCCTCAACGACTGCGCCGTCGACAGCGCCAAGACGCGTGAAGTCGCGCTCGAGCTCGAGGAAGCGATTGCTGCCGAAAACGCGGAAGGAAAGGCATCATGGCTGGAGTGCTTCTCAATCAAAAATCGCATGTTCCACCGCACCATGAACGGCATCATGATCCAGTTCCTTCAGCAGGTAAGCCTCGACCCCTTTGGATTCTTCGCTGTGACTCACACACGTAGCTCAACGGCCAAAACTTCTATTACTACTATGCGCCCGTGTTCTTCAAGAACATCTCGGGTGATCTTAACGCGTTCACGATCCAGCTCCTGCTGGGCGGCGTGTCTTTTGCCATGGTTATGCCGGCCATGTGGACGATCGAGCACATGGGCCGTCGATCCAGCCTGCTCATCGGCGCAGCATGTATGGCCGTCTGCGCGCTCGTTGCCGGTCTCGTAGGCCATTTCTTTACAGACACGCCCGGCGTCCCCGCCGACAAGCAGAAGATCGGCAGCAATGTCCTTGTGGCCTTCGCCATCCTCCACGTCTCCTTCTTCTCCTGGTTCTGGGGACCCACTGTGAGTTTTCTGTCTCCATTCCAGCAAGCTGACCAGCAGCCCTGGGTGCTTCTCGGCGAAACGTTCCCTCTCCGCGTGCGCCCCAAGGCCATTGCGCTCGGCGCGGCCTCCAACTGGTTCTGGAACTTCATGCTTGGCTTCTTCTCGCCCCTCATCGCGGACGACATCGGCCCCCTCATCCTCCTCATCTTCTTTGGGTGCCTCATCGCCGCCATCTTTTACGTGTTCTTCTTCATCCCCGAGACCGCGGGGATCACGCTCGAACAAGTCGACGAGCTGTATCGCTCGGGCGTGCCTGCATGGCGCTCGACAACGTGGAAGCCCTCCGAGCGGCGGGTGACGGCGCGCGACGAGAAGTCGGACGAGGCTGCACACCACGAGCACGTCGAGGCCGCGGCTGTGCTCGCCAAGCCATCTTCGCGCGTCTGAGGCGCGCGGTGTCACGTGTAAATATGTTATGTTATAAGTTGTTTGAATCAGGCCAGAGCTGAGGGTGAAGGGCGAGGGGGCGTCGGATCGTCCTTCATTCCTGTCATTTGGCACAGGGTCAACAATGACCTTGAGTCAGCGCCGACCGGAATAGGTGAGGCAAGCCCTGCTAGTTTCACGACTGAAGTGCGGGATCAACATAACAATGCAGAACGGATGGTGCGATGGCCATTTGACTTACACGGAATCTCGTTCTCGGTGAGACCTCACACATAACCTGTCGCTCCCGGGGAACCCGTTGAGAACGACACAGGACTGCAATTCTGGCCTAGAATTTCAGCGCCATGGAGGTGCACCCAAGCCGCACACTCCACGATTGGAGGATGAGATGCGTGACAAGGCCCACCTTCCCTCCATGGTTCAACAAACTGTAGGTCATGGGTCGAGGCCGAGGTCAGTCTAGGATTAGTCAGCCAACCTCGCGATTTTGACGGGCGTTTGGTGAGCATGTTAGACCAAAAGGCAGCACATCCGTTTTCCCGCACGTTGTCGGCAGATATGCATACTGTACAGTCGTCTCCTGCTCCAATGTGTCTCTCGCGTCACATGTGATAGCGCTCGGCGCACGTTTATCCTGTCTTGATACGACGGCCGACCTGGGCCTGGAAACCGGCCTTGATGGCGGCGACCGACCGGCGCGAGCCACAGCCCTCGCACGTGAGGAAGTACAGACGGTTCTCCTTGCCGAGGAGCGTGTCGGGCGACTTGCAAATCTTGCAGGTGACATATTCGACTGGGCGTTAGTTCAAGGTGGAAGGACAGGACGGCATCGAGGCGAGGCGCAGGCAGAAGAATTGCGCCTCTTCTCGCGACTCGGACTCACCAATGTACTTGCGCAAAACATTCTCGATCTGCTTCTGGTTGAAGCGACCACGGAGAATGAGACGCTGAGCAGCGTCCATCGAGCCCTGGGTACCCAACTCGGCGTACAGGAACATGAGGACGTGCTCGGGCTGACGGTGAAGACGACGGCAGATGTCGACAAAGTTGGCAAATGAAGTCTTCTTTGTACCCTCGCGGGTGACCTGAGGTGGGACAATCGTGTACCGACGCTTCTCGCCGGCGAGCTCGGGGTTGTTTACGTGGAGGAGGGTGTAGAATCGCTTCAGCAGCTCGGGGTAGGTGGCGTTGCGGTTCTCGGCAACCCAAGGGTCGAGACCGGCATCCACAGATGAGGACAGGTCAATGGTCTCCTCATCGGCCGCCTTCTCGGCGTCAAGCTCGTCAAGCTGTGGTCAGCGCTATTCTGAAAGCAAGACGAGGGCGCGCGGATGGCGAGGAGGGATATGACGACGAGTGAGACACGCGCCGTCCTCCTCTGCCTTCCTCGCCCAACGTCGCCACCCACCTCAGCAGCGAAGTCAGCAGCGGGCTTTTTCTTCTTCTTCTTGACGACGGGCACATCCGAGGCGTCGGGGGCGGGTGCGTCGCCGCCATCGAGGTCGAGAGGGATGTCCTTTTTCTTCTTCTTCTTCTTCTTGAGGTCGGCGAACATGTCTCCTGCGTCCTCGGCAGGCTTGTCCTCGGCAGCGGGCTCGGGCGTCGAGGCGCCAGTGGCGGCGGCAGAGGGCTCAGCGACAGGCGCAGCGGGCGCAGGAGTCTCGTCGAGGTCGAGCGCGACGACCTTCTTCTTCTTCTTCTTCATGCCAGCAAAGGCATCAACAACTGGGTCCGCCACTGAACGTTAGTCAGAGAACAAGGAAGGTAGGCGTATGCGATGCAGTCGCGAGGGCGGGGGCGGGCGATGCTCACTGATGAGAAGCGGATTGGGGGGGGTGGGTGGGAGAGGGCGATGGAAAGGGCGAAAGCAGAGTCGGCGCGGTTGTGGCCGTTTTAGATTGTGATGAGGAGAATGAGATTGATGATGAAGACGGTGTCGGCGTCGATGAACGCTCGTGGTCTCAGCGGCGTGCTCCCTGCCAGCTGCCTGACCAGCCTAGCGAAATCCATGACTCGATTTTGATTCCGCTCCCATCGGGGGTGCCACAGGCGCAAGGTGAGCGGCGGTAGTCGGCGTTTCAACGGTGGCCCAGGAGGGGGAGAGCTCTCTGTATGGTGGATCGGGACTGAACGGGGTGGAGGCTCCTGGTTGGGGGGGGAGGGCGGCCCAGGAGGGAGAAGCCTCTGCCAGCTGCCAGCTGCCAGGCCCAGGGTGAGCGCCGTCCGTCCGGCCGCGGTTGCTCGCTGCCAACTCGTCGCTGCTCGACATCTCACTCCACTCCCTCACCACTCTCCCTCCCCCCTCACCCTCCCCCAAAATGTTCACCCGTGGCGCCCGTCCGGCTCTCGCCGTCGCCCGCACTGCTTCCAAGCAGCAGCAGGCTGGCATGGCCACTCTCAAGGAGATTGACCAGCGGTGCGTATCCGTTCAACCTCGCACCCCCCTCGATTCGCCCAAGTCTCCCCACCGCCTTCTCTTTCCTCTCCAGCTCGCCAAATTGCCGCCTGTGCACCCGCGCATGTCTAGCGCGGCCGGCGCGACCTTGAGCATGCATGTAGAACTCTGCTGACCCCAGCCTCAAGTCGGTCAGGAACATCGAGAAGATCACCAAGGTGCGCCAAAGATCCTTGTGCTTGCTGCTGACGCGCAGTCGATGAAGGTCGTTGCCTCGACCAAGCTCACCCGTGCCGAGCGCTCCATGCGGGAGGCTAAGAAGTACGGTGCCGCCAACAACGGTGCGTCGCGATGGCGGGCGAGAGGGAAGGCAGAGCATTGGAGGATTGCGATGAAGCGAGCGCAGGGATTGCCGAGGGTGAAAGTCGGCGGAGCAGGGGGAAAGGTCGTGCGCGCGCCGTAGAAGTGGCCTCAACAGTCAGCGGAGGCGTGCGCGCGTTGTCTGCGCTCGTAGGCTCGCCGCCGAGGATGCGCGCTTCAAGCGCAGCCTGGAGGAAGACCGCTGGGAGGAAGGAACAGTATTGCCGAGCATCTAGCTAACCCACAGAGCTCTTCGACCACGCCAAGGTCGACGAGGACGCCGCCAACGACAAGAAGATCCTCTACCTCGCCATGTCGTCGGACGGTGGTCTTTGCGGCGGTATCCACTCCACCATCTCGCGTGCCACCAAGAAGGCCGTTGCGGAGCAGGACGGTGCCCTCGCCATTGTTGGTGACAAGCCCAAGTCGCAGCTCGCCCGTGTCTTCGCCGACAAGATCAAGGTCTCGTTCTCGGGTGTTGGCAAGGACGTGCCCACCTTTGCCGAGGCCTCTGCCATCGCCGACGAGCTGATCAAGAACGCCGGCGAGTGGGACGAGGTCCGCATCATCTCCAACGCCTACATCTCGGCGCTCTCGTACGAGGCCCGTGAGACCATTGTCGTTGCCGCCGACGCCCTCCGTCAGTCGTCGGGCTTCCAGCAGTACGAGATGGAGGACGACGTCTCCAAGGACCTCGCCGAGTTCTCGCTCGCCAACGCCATCTACGCCAAGCTCGTTGAGGGCCACGCCGCTGAGATTTCGGCCCGTCGCACTGCCATGGAGAACGCGTCGAACAACGCCCAGGACATGATGTCGTCGCTCCAGCTCCAGTACAACCGTGGTCGCCAGGCCGTCATTACCACCGAGCTCATCGACATTATCACCGGTGCCTCGGCTCTTTAAGCAAAACGCGCGTTAGCGGATAAGATGCATGAGTAAAAGGGCTGCGCGTGGCGAGCAGCGAGCACGTATAGCGTGTGAGCTGTTTAGTTGGGCGCGTGCGCGTGTGAGAGCAGCGATTTTTGGATGTAAGGGAGGGCAAGTATTTACTGCAATGGGGGGGGGAAGTGTGATTTCGTGGTTTGCAGATGCCGGCTCTACTCGCTCTGCTGTCTCCGAAGTTTCGTACACATGCCTTGCGCCTCCGACTCGGTGTATAGTTTCTCTACAATCTACGCGTAGTCCGAGATCTCATCAGCCACGTCCGTCAGAGGCACGGACAAAGTGAGCATGACGCAACGTGCTTGAGCGTTCACAGACCCCGCAACGCGCGCCGATGCAGTATTCTGACTCTTCTCATCTCACACTAACTGACATGGGCCTGCACCCCACTCTCGCCGCGATCTTCGCCGCCCACGGCCTGCAAGCGAGCGGGGCAGGACCGATCTTCCGCACCCAGCAGGGGAAGTACTACGGCAAGACGGCGCGCGGGCGCGCCGCCGACCAGATGCGGGGCGAGGCCGCCTCGCTCGCAGCCATGCATCGGACCGCGCCGCCGGGCCTCATCCCCCGCATCCTGGGGTTCGTGGACGACGACGTGGGCGCCCTCGTGACGGAGTACGCGGAGGGGAGCGGGGGCGGGCAGGTGGCACTGGGCCGCGCCCTCGCCGATATGCATCGGCCGCCTCAAGATGCGGAGGGCCGGCCTAACCGGGGGGAAGCAGACACCGTGGGACAAGAGAAGCTCGACACGCTCGCGACATACACTGGCGCGTTCGGGTTCGGGGTGCCGACGCACTGCGGGGCGACGGAGCAGGATAATACGTGGACGGAGAGCTGGGAGGAGTTCTTCCGCGATCGGCGGTTGGGCGATCTCGTGCGCCGCATCGGCGACCCGCGCGTCGATAGAGCATGGAGGCGGCTCAAGGACGGGTGAGTAAGCGGCAACCATTGATGTGGCTTCGAACTGACGCCAGCGCTGTCCCCCTCCTCCTCCATGACATCTCGCCGGCTCCCGTTCCCGTGCCGCTCCATGGCGACCTATGGCCGGGTAATGTGGCGGGCACGGCCATCTACGATCCTGCGGGGTACTATGGGCACGGCGAGGCGGATCTGGGCATGACACGTATGTTTGGAGGTAAGTCGAGAGGGGTAGGAGGTGCTTCCGTGGATGAGAGACAGGGCTCACGAGCTAACACCAGGCTTCTCGCAGGCCTTCTACGACGCTTACCATGCCGTGCATCCGCGCAGTACGCCGCACTACGAGCAGCGGATCAGGCTGTACGAGCTGTACCATCACCTCAACGTACGTGTCGCAACGATGTCCTTGGTGGGCGCTGATGGCAGCACGCACTCATGTTCGGCGGAGGGTACACAGGCGGTGCGCTACGGATCATGGACGAGCTAGCCGACTGGGCTGAGGCGCAGCAGCAGCGCTGAGCCGCGGCAACATGGAGCATGCTGTCGTAGATGATGTAATGTTCATGTGTTCCATTCCCGTCTGCGGGCGCCGCGAACCGCCGCCACGGTGATCGGCCAAAGCTCAGGCACGGCTGACGTCTGTCAGATAGCCGGGGCAACATGCTCTCTTTTCTGATCGTCCACTTCGTCTTGTTTCTCTCGCGATCATCGACCATGGCCGTGACAAAGCCGCGTCGGGCGCGTGGTGCGTGCTCCCCAGCCTCTCTTCGCCGCCCTCCATACCGCTGACCCCCAGGCCCTTCCCCGCTCCTCAAGTCCTACCTGCTGGCCTTCAACGCCCTCTCTGCCCTTCTGTGGGCGCGCCTCCTCTTCCTGACCCTCTGGTTCATCTGCACGCCGCGCACGACGCCGGCGCACCGCACGGTGTTCGGCCAGGCCGCGTCGGGCCAGCAGCCGTGGGCCGGCGTCGCGGCCCTCGCGGACCACCTGAGCGGGGGATACTCGTTCCACGGCCTCGGCGAGGCGACGAAATGGACGCAGACGCTCGCGGTGCTGGAGGTCGTGCACGCTGCACTGGGATGGGTCCGCTCGCCCGTCGGCACCGTCGCGAGCCAAGTCGCGAGCCGGCTGTGGGCCGTGTGGGGCGTCGTTGAGCCCGTCGCTTCGGTAAGTCCTCAGTCCCCATCTCCAATACCCCTCGTCTCCGACGTCCTGCCGATAACGACGGAGACGCGGCCCGAGCCGGCAGAGCTGACGCCAGGCCCGCTCCAACCCCCTCTTAGCGACCATGCTCCTCGCATGGAGCGTGACCGAGGTGATCCGGTACACGTTCTACTTCCTCGCCCTCCTCAACATCGAGCTCTACCCACTCAACTGGTGCCGCTACACCTTCTTCCTGCTGCTGTACCCGCTCGGCGCGGGCTCCGAGGCCTTCCTGAGCTTCAGCACGCTCCCGCCGCTCCGCACGCTGCCGTACGTCCCCAAGCTCCTCGGGACCATGCACGGCCTGCTACACTCGATGCCCGCGCAGTTCAGCCGCGCGCTCATGAAGACGCATCCCGGCCGCGCGCTGCTGTGGTCTGTTGCACGCGCGCGCGCCGCCAAGAGCGCTGGCGGCGTGTGGACGCCCATCGAGGTGGCACGCCTCGTGCTTTTCGTTATTTGGTGGCCTGGTGAGTTCGAGGTCGGGGGCCGCTGACGCCAGGCCTCTACATCCTTTACACGTACATGCTCAAGCAGCGGCGCAAGTTCTTCTCGAAGAGCAAGACTGTCGGCGGCGCCAACAAGGCTAATTAGTCGCCTCACACCTGTCGACAAGCGGATCTGATCGTTTGGTGGCCGATTGTAGCACCCAATCTGTCGTAGTAACTGACGATACATGCTACTAAGCATCACAGAATCCGGAGGGAAGGACGGGAGAGAACTGACGCAGCATATCCATGGTTGGACATTCCGCTCAGTCTAACGGCCAGTCGGCCCGCACCCTCTCTCTCGTCCATCATCTACACATTCACCTCTGACCCCGACTCTGACTCCGACGAATCCGGAAACTCTGCGGCGTCGCGAAATAGCTGCGTGTCCTTTACCGCCCACTCACAATTGTCGCACACCATCTCCCACTGGGAGTAGATGAGGGCACCAGAGGGGCGAGGCAGGAAACTCAACGAATTGTCGCGCATCGTGCCCATGGGACGGGCGGAGTCGCTTCCATGCTTCATGACAGCAAGCGCGAATAAAGCGCTAGCGAGGGTGAGGCCTTTGTCTCCCTCGCGCCCAAACGGCTTGGATAGGAACATCGTGTGTTGTTTCGCGAGGTAGGCGACCATTGCAGTGTTGCCGTTGAAAACGATAGCCCAGCGCACGCGGTAGTGGTGCATGCCTTGCCACGTGACGAGAGCGAGCACCCTCGCGGCGGCACTGAGGCCGCTCCCGCTCCGCTTACGGAGCTCGATGCCCGGATACTTGAGGTGGAGATTCCAATCCTGTGGCACGGTGCTCATTGTCGCGTCGTACAGCTCGTGAAAAGCAGACGCATCCGCGTCCATACGCCAGCTCATCATGGCAACAGGCTCGCTGCGCTTGACCTTGCCGGTGGGCTCTCTCAGTGCGAGCCAGTCGAAGCAGCGATGCTCCGCATCCTGGAACCGCGGAAGCCGCCAACGGATGACTCTCTCCGGCTTACGGTCGCGCTGAAAAGTGTGAGGAGCCTGGATCAGGCGGTTGATCGCGTCACCCAGGTGGTAGCGCCACGTGCGTGCAGCCACAATGTCGCTGGGAAAGCATTCGCTGGCAAACTGGGTCATGTGGCTCTCGGATCGCAACCAGGCGTTGACCGACATCCTGTGACCCCGAACATCTGTCGGCTCGGCGTCGCAGTAATTGCCCTTCGGATTGGCGGGTGATTGATCGGGAAGACCACTCACACGGTTGAGCTGGCAGAGAAGCAGCAACGCTAGCTCCGCATGGTGCTGCACCTGCAATGTGCCGACCTCGAGTTGCCTGATTGCCGCCACGGCGTCGGGGCCCTGCAGCTTGGTTACTCGCAACGGCCGGGTGAGGGGAGGGAAGACAAACTCGGTAAGGCATTGAGTTATAGTGCGTGACGTCCGACGTGGCAATCTGACCAAGGAATGGGCCGTGTTCCCTTCCTGACAAGTACCGCTGGAGGTATCGCACGATGGAATTCGGTTGAGCGCGGCCTCCGTAACGGAGGTGCCGACAGAGGTTGTACGAGGCGAGGTAATGTGGTTGTTTGTGTCGGAGTCCTCTGAGGCACTGGAGGGCGAATCAACGTCGAGGCCTATCCGGGAGGCCCGCCTAACAGCCACACAGTGTGCCTCGAAACTAGATGACAGGGCAATGGGAGGAGAGCTCAAGAGGGATTGAACAGGCTGGGAGCTGGGAGGTGGAGTGATAGAGGTGACAACGGGGGCAGTCTTGAGACCGGGAGGAGGGGTGACGGGAGGAGCGGAGTCGGCACAGCGGGCGCGCCTGAGTCCAGAAGAGTCGTTGGCAGCGTTGATTAACTGCACATCCCTTGAGCGGGAGACATGTGCGAATGGGCCAAGATTGCGGACTGTTTTCGTACCGAGTGGCGGAGCGGGGGCCTTGGGGTGCGCGCGAGGTCGGGTCGTCCGCGACGGCCTGGGAGCGCCGGTGGGGTCGCCTCCTGTCCCAGGAAACGTCGTGATAGGCATGGTCAAGGTGACGCTGGGGAAGGTCAAGGGTGGGTCCGATTCTACTTGGTGGCGGCGGTGGTGAGGATGGGGTGCGGGCCACGAGTGAGACTACTGAGCGTTAGCAGTGAGCGCTGGAGCAAGAGGAGCTCACTGCGACTGATAGAAAGAAGGCGGAGTTCTAGAACGGAGCGGAGGTCAGAGGTCGCGGGCAACGTGCAAGTTGCAGAGTGGAATGGGGAGGAGCGGAGAGGACCGGAGAGGAGGTAGAGGAGACGGATAAGGAGATATCGAGGAGCGCCCGGAAAGGTGGTTGAGCGCACGAGTCAAGATGTTGGATGGGGAGACTGCACAAGGGGAGGTGAATGAGCAATGGAGAGATGGAGGAAGAAGAGCTGGCGTTGGAAGACTGATCTCGAGGATGGCAAGTACTCAACATGGCGGCTGACGAAGACCGTTAGTGCATCATACACACCATACACTGGGAGGTGGCGCTTGTCCAGAGCTGCCCCGACTCGGACTTTAGACTGAGGCTCGGGTCGGTGCAGACCAGCGTGCGAGTGAGCACTGGACTCCAACGAAGGGCAGTAATGCTGCCAGCATTCCAAGTTGAACCAGTTGAGCGGCTCTCACCTTTCCGCACCACCGCACTGTCTCGCCCATCCCTCGGCCATCGTCCAAGCCCCAGTGTACATACTCTATACCAACCCATCTCTCTAGTCGACCTCGCTCGGGGGCACCTGCGGCGCGCGCGTCGCTAGCTTATCCGCCTGCGCCTGCGCCACGCGATCGAGCTCCACCAGCTCGCCCGCGGCGCCCCCAAAGCGCCGCGGCACCTCCTTGTCGCCGAGCTCGCCCGCCGTGCTCTCCTCATAGCTGACGACGACAAACTTGCGCGCCGTCTCGGCGCTCACGAACACGCGCACGGCCGCGAACACCCACGACATGAGCAGCGGCACGCCGACGAACAGCTTGCGGCTCAGCGTCTCGGGGTAGTGCGCCGCCATGGTTTCGATGGCCTTTTTGCTGGCGGCCTTGACGCGCGGGTCGAGCCGCAGGAAGGAGACGCCGCTGTACACGTGTACTTGGGCGATGCGGTGGGGGTCGGCGCCCGCCCCGTGGTCCGGGATGCCGGTGGTGGTGTGTGCTAGGTCGAGGTGCGACATGGCGCGCTCCATGAGTGCGATGCGCCATCGGAGGAATCTATATCAGGAGAAGAACGCAACAGATACTCACTTGTCCAAATCACCAAACGTCGCGCCCAAGTCCTTGACCGCGCCATACAAGTTCCAAGTCACGACCTCGCCCGTGGACAGGTGCGTGACGTACCCGAGCCCCTCAAACCCCTCGAACTGCTCCTCCCATATCGGCGCGGCGTCGAGCCCGAACTCGCGGCGCCACACCAACGTGCTCTGCAACGCGGCGGCCGCCGCGTCGACATCGTCGGCCACGGAACGGAGGTACTTCTGTAGGATGAGGAGGGTGGCGAACGTCGGCGTCGCGCCGTCCAGCGTCACGCCCCATATTTGGCGGTGCGAGGCCGCGTCGATGATCCCCGCGAGGCGCGCGTGGAAGCGGAGCAGCGGGTGCGAGGGCTTGAGCGTGCCCCAGCCCGCGATGGTGACTTCGGGGCCTTCCGGCTCGGACTGCGCGGGCGCTGCGGCGGCTGGCTCCGAGGGGGGAGGGGGTACGGGTGCGGCCGAGGGCGGATTGACGATTTCGGGCGCCGAAGTGGGCGCCTCAGAGGCGGCGGTGGGCGGTAGAGGCGAGGCCATGGCGACTGAAAAGAGATGAGATGGAAATGTCGAGATGGCGAAATGCGAGATATGCCAGCTTGGTGGCGTCAGAGGTCCGGGGATCACGCAGGGTTTATCTGATATGCGCCAAGTCCCAGGCACAAAAGGAACCCGTGCGGAGCGTGCGGCCCGCGCTCATTCTCCCTATCTCCCTGCGAAACCACGATCTGTGCATCCTATCCTGCTGCTGTACAACTGCTCCACTGCTCCTGCGGGCTATCTTCTGACCTCTCACTACTACGCATACTTGGCGACGTCGTCCGCGTCCGGCCCCACCGGGTCCGAGCTCGCGGCGAGGTTGCACTGGTGGAACATGCGGAGGTCGTTGTCCCCAAACGCGCCCGTCACCGAGTGCAACAGGCCGCGGTTGTGGAAGAGCACAAGGTCGCCCTCGGACCAGTCGACGGCGTAGACCTTGTCCGGCGCGATGCCTGGCCGCTGCACCTTTTCGAGCCATGCGCGGACCTCCGCAAGGTCCGTGATCGCCGCGCCGTCGGGGAAGAGCTCTGCGCCGGCCTTCGGCGCGACGTGCAGCTCCATCGCAGCGCACGGGTGCACTTGCAGCGCGAGGCGGCCCGTCACGGGGTTCTTCCACAGCATCGGCAGCGTCTTGACGTCCTCATCCTTCCACTCGGGCAGCTGGTCGAGGGGCATCTCGCGGCCCTCGGTCTCAAGACCAAGACCGGTGGGGCGCGCACGCGCACCGCTCATCCACACGTATGGGTGCGGCGCGTACTTGACTTTCGTGCGTACCGCGAAGCTCTGTAGCGCCGGCGGGAGCTGCTCGAACATTGCCGTGCCAGAGACAAAGGCGGTCGCGCCAGGCGCGACCTTGATCTCGTCGCCCGAGCCATCGTCGTACCGCAGCGTCTGGGGGGGACCCTTCGGCACCTTGACGGCGTACAGCGTCGTCACTTTGGGTGGGGAGAGCTTGTACAGCGCCGCATCGATGTGCCAGCGGTAGAAGCGAGTGGTGCCCTTCGCCTCGTCCTCGTCCGACACCTTGGTGGCGTGGAAGGTTGCGTGGTGCGGGTGCTTGAGTTTGGGCTGCGGTCAGTGGGTATTGCGGAGTGATATGGGCAGGGGGCGAGGGACCAAACAGCTCCGCCGGCGACCACGGCGTGTGCCGACGCGACGCCTTTCATCACCACCGGCGACCACGACGAGCGTAGCCGACGCCTATCTCACCACCGCGGGGTCCGCGGCCATATCCGCCCCCGCCAATTGGCGGGTGCTGTCATGTGGACCAAGTCCGATGTAATCGGAGGGTGGGCTGCAACTCGCCCGGAACATGGGGACCCCGGCCGGCCTCTGCGTCACTTCCTGTACTCACCCGGTCCAACCCCTCGTACTCGCCCGGCACCTGGCCGTGCCCGATGAGCTGCACCTCTGGCTGGTGCGGGATGGTCTTGAGGTCGGGGTGGAGGATGCTCTTGGTCTCCTTGCCCGTCTTATTGTTGCCGTGGCCGTACGACTGCGCGGCGGGGTCGAACGACTTCGTCATGGCCGCCTGCTGCGCCGGCGTGAGCTTGGTAGATGGGAAAACGAGGACGTCGTGCTGGTGTCAGTAAGCGTGGGTGGGAGAGGGGGCACCTTGTACAGCGCGTCCTGGATCTCGGCCATGACCTCTGGCGTCTGCTGTGCCGGGTCGAAGCCGGAGACGACGCGGCCAAAGTCACAGCCTTTCAGCGGGGCGTAGGAGAGGGTGGCGACTGTCATCGTAGGAGGGGATGGGATGGGATGGGATGGGATGGGATGGGATAGAATGGGAGACGGGATGAGGCGTGGCGGCTTATGTAGAGGTGGCGAGACTCATATAACGTATCAGTTGACCTCGTACGTCGCCTCGTGGTAGTATGCGGCATGCAGCGGAACTGCACCCACCAACATCCGTTCACATCGGGTTTCGTACCTCCTTATCTGCCCCGCCGCAGCTCGCCGATAGCGCCGTCACCCTGCTCACTCCCATGGCTTGCCTGGTCCTCGTATGCCATACGTTGATGCATAGGGGATCTATGAGGGCTCGGTGCAAAGTCAGCCTCAGTTAGCAGCTGCAAAATCACCAGAACGCGTCGTGGTTGGCGGAATTGGCTGACAGTGACCGACCCAATCCATCTCTCACTGCGGTAGTCACCGACCTCGGCGCCACCATCAGCACCTTTCCGCGCGCTTCCGCTCCCATCTCCGTCGTACCTAGCTCACATTCCATAGACGTAAAGTTACAACCGCCGCTATGCCCACCGTCGTCTCCCCACTCTCCCGCCGTTACGACCGTGGTCCGACCTCACCGGACTTGGCGATATCAACTGCTGTACATGTTCCACGAGCTCTTCATACGCAGCCCCCAGTCCTTCTGTACACGCGACTTGGACGACAGCCCAAGCGACTTGGCGCCCCGGCCGCCGCTTCCCTCGTCATCGCCCATGTCCACGGTCACCCCCGCCTCCTTCCTCTCCGTCAGCTTGGTCCGATCCACCACTAATTCGCCCAGTAGCAATTAGAACAACTTACAGTCGCATGCGGAACACATTGGCCTGCGTATCAGCCGTGATCTTGCGCCCGCCTTCCAGAGCCGAGCGGAACGCCTCGGCGCGCATATCCTTCTCCTTGATTGTCAGAACCCGGTCGACAAGGTCGACGCGCGCCTGCACGCTTCCATCCTCAGCCAGCTGGCACACCTCGTGCACCATGGCATCCTCTGCCGTCTCGAATGCTGCGGCCATCTGTGCGATGCGGACCGACGAGAAGGGCGCGATGTACTGTACTAGCGCACGCTGGCGGATCTTCTTAAGCAAGTCAGCCGTGTGGGCAGCGAGGAAGGGATTGAGGATCATATATGGCTGGCGTCAACATATGTTATCAACAAGGACTCACCTCGGCCTTGCGCAGGATCGCGAGCGCCTCCCCGTAGTGAGCGCCGACAAAGGCGCGGACGAGGTCGAGAATCCACGCCTGCGAGTCGTCAATGGCGGCGTGGAAGGAGGGACGATCAAGAAGAACGCGCTTGACGTAGTCACGGGTGCCAGAGGCAAGCGCGAGAATGGCCGTGAGGAATGCGAGGTCGGCAGTAGAGATGACGACACCCTCCCAATCTCCCAAGCCGCCTTCCTCGCCGACCTCGCCCAACTCTCGTGCTGCGTGGCTGTACTCTCGCATGTTGATGGCAAGGATTCCACGCGCAACACGAAGCTTGATGCCAACGGTACGACGGGCCTCGGCTGCGCGCGCGGCCTTGTTGCGGCTCTGCAGGACCTGCAAGCGAGTCATTGTCGAACTGACGGGCGCATCGCCCGCTTCTTTGACGGGGTGAAGCCGATCGAGGGATGCAGCCGTCTTGTGCGTATTTCCGGGGACCACGCCTGTTTCGTTGAACTGTAGCGAACCCTGTAGAATTGCTAGACCCAGCTCGACGTAGTGTGCCGCGCCACTGCAGTTCTCGCGAGCCTGGTTGAACGCCTTGAGCGCCTCGGTCAGCGAGCCGGCCTTGAGCGCCAGCTCGGCCTGAGCCAAATGTGTGAGCTGGTGTGAGAACAGAGTACATTCCTTGAGTACTCACGCGAATGCTCTCCTTAATCAGGTTGGCAGCGTAACCGTTCAGCTCAACGCTGAGCCGATTGTTCTCGGCCTCCTCCTTGTCGCGCACCTCCTGTACCCAGTTCATGTCGGGCGTTCCCTCGGCCTCGGCATCCTTCTTGCCATAGCTAGTGTCGATATCCATTGCCTCATCTGAAGTGGTGGGCTTACTTAGATTGAGGGTTCTAGCGATCTGGGAGACGACTCCGAGGTATAGGGCATGGTCCCACGTCTGTTCCTTGATTAGAGGGATGGCGCGCAGCGCAGCGACGCGTGCGAGTTTTAAGGCGTTTGGCGAAGGATCTGGCTGGGAGAGGATGAGGTCGGGGATGTGGGTGAGGCGAGTGATGAGTGCGCGACCTGGACGATCAGTATGAGCAGGCAGGGAAGGTGGACGTCGCGGCGACGGAAGGGCGCCTGTTTGAGCTGGCTCGAGTGGCTCTTGCCGCACGCCGCACACACAGCGACGTTTCAAACGGCCGTCTGGGTCTCTTCAACGCGTTCCGGCGAGAACGGAGCTCGCTGCACGCTGCGCATGAAGGAAGGGTCACCCACCTTTGTATGTACCAACGTAGGCGTTCCAGTTGAAGGTATCTGGGTCGATGCCTTCCAGAGACGCCAACGAGACTTTGACGGGGGCCTTGCTCGACTCGACGTCCATGATGTCGGAGTTGGACGTGGTGAGCAGAGCAGAGAGATGAGTGGTGGGGAGGTGGTGTGTTTAGGACGAGCTCCTGGCTGGACATCGTTGCTCATCACCTGTGTCCTTCGTCATCGTCCTCGACACTTGGGTTTAGTTCCGCACTGGTCACGTGGGCCCATTAAAGAAACCAGTATACTGCCGCTGATAAAGTGAGAAAACTAATGCATAGGAAGAATGAAAGTGGGGCAGCCAACCTTTGCCGATGCCGAGACGATGAGCCATCATTCCAGAAGGGATTCGGTGATACAGCACGCCACCGAACGGCGAGTAGTGGTGAGCCCCAAGCTCACCCTGAGGCATGAGCCAGTATCATATCGGCAGTCGGCGGTGGGCGAGAGTGAAGAGGCGTGGGGAGGGAGGGCCTACCCCGCACTGTGGCCGACGCCACGGTGAGTGGCTTGGAGTGGAGCGGAGGAGCGGAAGGGGCGTATTGTGGTTGGGTGAGAGATCGGAAAAAGGCGAGGGGGGGGTTTAGTCGGTGGGCTGAGGCCGCTGGGAGGATGTGAGAGTGCCGAGCCTCCGAGAGGCCGAAATGAGGGAGAGCTCCAGACGCTCCCTCCAGACGAGAGAGGGCTCCGGGAAGAGGCGAGGATGGTAACCGTGGTCGCGTATCGTGCATGATCGTGCAATGTTGGTGCATTGCTCAAATGGGATGCATGGCGTGACTGGCGATGACGGACTCCCCCTTCTCCCTCATCCAATCGCCCAAACGCCCAATTTCCCCGTCTCACTTGGTGGCAGCAAGCTGCTTGTTATTCCGCCCCAGTCCTTTCTAGACTCCCCCCCTTACGCGCCTGACGCCCCCCCCCCCCCCCCCCCCCCCCCCCCCCCCCCCCCCCCCCCCCCCCCCCCCCCCCCCCAATCA